TGACAGAGTCGACAGGAATATGTTGAAGGAATGTATGGGAGAAACGGGAATCCGCAATAATCTCATTAATATTTGTAAAAGCATGTATACACGTATTAAATTCTGCATAAGACCGAAGGCAGGATTGTCAACAACTTTTATAGTGAACTATGGTGTGCTTCAGGGCTGTGTACTATCGCCACTTCTTTGTATAACATACATGGATACCATTTGTTAGGAAACAAACTTTAATCATGAAGAAGATATTACATAATTACTATTCGCCGACGACCAGGTACTCATAGCAGAAAGTTCGGAATGTCTACAGAACCAACAAGATCAAAATAATAACAAAGGGGAAAAATATAAAATGAGAATAAACACCACGAAGACAGAGACAATGGTGACAGGAAGACAGAAAAACAGGTTAGAAAAAAAAATTAAGAAACAACGCTTCAAGACAAACAAAGGAATTCAAGTATTTGGTAGCATTTTTCACATCCATCTGAAAACTGGACACAGAAATTAGCTCGAGATGTGCAAAAGCTAATGAGGCAATTATCTTCCCTGTTTACACACATGCAGAAACCTCGGAGCACTAAAGTGAATCCTATCAGAACTATTTTTCTGGTTAATGCCAAATATGGTCACCTACATCCTCTAACCGTGGCTAAGGCGTTGCGAGTCCGACTCGTAAGCCAGCATACCGCGATCGAAACCCACTGCAGGCTGCGTGGATTTTTGTCGTGGTATGGGACGTCGCAGGTCGACCCAGCCTCAAATGGGTACCAGGATGGGCTGTCCTGGGAAAGTAAAGACAGCCGGCGTAATGCTGACCACATTACCCACCGTGTGCTGATGGTCTGTAAAAATATGGGACGCTCTGCCCATATGCCCGATGCGCCGAAAGGCGTGAAAAGGGATGTTTACTTTTTTTACTTACTTACATCCTCTAATGAACGTAAAATTGTGACAAGAGAGATTAAATGCCTTAGAAGATCTGCAGGAGTTTCAAGGATAGACAGGAAACGAAATCAAACGAATGCTAGGAATAAAGCCAGTCTTACAAGTTATCAAAGAACAACAAATGAAGTAGTTTGGACACATAACAAGAATGCCCTGGTACTATCTGCCACAGCGAGCCACACTAAAACATTACAACGGGTACAGAGCGAGCAGAAGACTTTAGAAATGTGGAGTATGTCATTAAGAACAGTATGGCATAAATAAACGTCACTCTTAATAGTACTCTTGACAGAGCTCATCAACTAATGTTATATCCCCCCCCCCCCCCCCCCCCCGACACTTTACTGAGGTACAAGGTGGATGAGAAGAATAAAACAAACTCTATTATACACGTATCTGTTCGTCTCTTAGCTTTTTATCAACAGCATATGTTAGTAGTCTTTTCAAAATTTACCTACTTAATATTTTGCATCCCCCTGATGCAGTGTGACTATTCTTTGCTTTCCGTGAGACAAAATGACAAAGCTACTTATAATTAATTAGGAATAGTCCGAAATCAGGAACAATGAATAAAGAATATAATGGTATTGATTGATCTGTAGAATAGTGGCTATAATACTAGGGCTTTATATAGAAAAATAAATGAATTCCTCTAGCGCTTGGTCGAACACTTTAACTAAACCAGACATCATCCATAAACAATGAAGCCATAAACCGCATACCCCAGATTTCTATCAAAGATTCATGGGCAGATCAACCTACAACAGAGAAAACAATAAAAGCTATCCATCTGGAAATGGATCAATGTAATCCATCAATGGAAAGACGCCTAGTCCAGATGCTATTCCAGCTGAAGTCATCATCGTGGGTGGTCCAGTTCTGACTGAACACGAGATATTTCAAAGAATTTAGGAGAGTGAGACCATCCCACAGGATCTCAAGGACGCTGTAATAATTCACCTGTACAAACGTAAAGGAAACCGTCAGTCCTGTGATAATCACGAGGTATCTCATTGCTTTCAGTTGCAGGGAAGATTCTTGCCAGGATTCTCCTTGGTCGTCTCACAGCTCATCTCGACAGAGGTCTCCTTCCTGAAAGTCAGTGTGGTTTGAGAAAAGATCGTGGAACTGTTGATGATTTTCGCTGCTAGACAGATGCAAGAGAAATGTCAATAGCAGAATTCGAACATGTTTTCACTTTTTTGATCTTACGAAAGCGTTTGACACAGTAGATCGAGATGGACTGTGGAGGATTATGGAGAAATTATGTTGCCCACATAAGTTCATCCAGATAGTGCGTCAGTTTCATGATGGCATGCAAGCAAGAGTGCAGGATAACGGCGAACTGTCGAGTTTTTCTGTCATAAACGGAGTCAAACAGGGCTGCGTGCAACCACCGTCACTGTTCAGTCTGTTATTTTCAGCCATGCTGTAAATCATTATTGTAAATAATGATCACACTGGAAAAGACATAAACTACCGCATGGATGGAAAGCTGTTCAACCTCAGGAGGCTGAAAGGAAAAAGAAAAACTAAATCAGACACCATCAGAGAGCTGCTGTTTGCCGACGAGTGTGTCTTTATGCCAAAACAGAAGCGGATATGCTGCACAACATCGACAAATTCAGTGATGCCTGTACAAACTTTGGGCTCACCATCAACAAAGATAAAACTATAGCCATGCACCAGCCAGCAAAAGGGCGAAGTTTCATCGAGCCCAATATCACAGTGAACGGCTACATATTAAACGTTGTCAGTAAATTTACTTATCTAGGCAGCCTCCTTTTACAGAGCGCCACAATTGATGACGAAGTAAATGCAAGGATCTCTAGGGCTAACGTTGCCTTTGGCAAATTTTACAAAAACTGTTGAAACAGAAGTGGCATAACCCTGCAGTCAAAGCTTAAAGTATACAGAGCAGTTGTATTAACTACACTGTTGTACGCATGCGAAACATGGACTGTATACCAGCTCCAGGCTAGAACGTTAAATCACTTTCACACAGTCTGCCTTAGAAAATTAATGCAGATCAGATGGCAATACAAAATACCTGATACCGTAGTCCTTGAGAAAGCAGCCATGACCAGCATCCACACTCTACTGATGCAGTGTCAAATTCGTTGGGGTGGTCATGTGGCACGCATGCCAGATCACAGGCTCCAAAAAAAAAAACTCTTATATTTTGAGCTACAAAATGGGAAACATTCCCAAGGCGGGCAAAAAAAAAAACATGAAGGACAAGCATGCATGATAAACAAAACATTGCATGTATGCGAACAGTATTATATATTTATATGTGTGCATGCGTGCGTGTGTGTGTGTAAAGAAGTCACTTTCCTCCTACAAAAATGTTTCTATAAAGAAGTGTCTATTTTATTTTCCTGTGACTCTCTCTCTCTCTCTCTCTCTCTCTCTCTCTCTCTCTCTCTCTCTCTCTCTCTCTCTCTCTCTCTCTCTCTCTCTCTCTCTCGTTTCCACTCGTACTCATTCCAACCCAGATGGTTGTATGGGGGTCACTAATGTAGAATAGACGAGGCAGAATATCTTTCATCAACGATCACATTACTCTAAATGAAAGTCGACGATGACCAGTTCCATGTTTATTCTATTAACTAAAGAACAACTACTATAAAAAGATAGCCACCAGGTTATGATAGTATGATAGTTTACTATCATAACCATGTTAACACAGAAAACACTTATTACTCACACAAACATAAAAGCTAGACAGTTAGAATGGTGAAATAGGGACACCCAAGTCAGCCATGAAAATTTTTGCATGTTATTAGTACAATATATACATAAACTGGTGAATAGGTACACAAGATTTCAGTGGATGGATCCTAGGAAACAATGACTCGACCCAGATATTGAAGCAGCCAGATTGCCTTGAGATGGACAAGAGTTCATCACAGGAAATATGAGGAGCTGTGGGAAAAGAGCATGATAGTAATTCATAGATCACTTAACCCAGTTCGTAGATCGATGCTCCCCTCAGTCCATGGTGATTCGACTGTAGTTGACTCAGGTCTATATGTCTCTAGTTGATCTGGTATCAGTTGATTACCTCACCATCGAGGACACCGGAACTGCACAGGGACTCAACAAGTTTCTCTCACAGGTCAGGTCACAAAACTGCCTCAGAGCTCAACCAAGCTCTTGAAGACTGGTTCACTAGATTGAGGACACAAATGTCTGCAAAGGTCCACTCGTCTTGGAGCTCACACACACGCTCTTGCCATGTTGAGGTGTGGCAAAAAGGACAGAACTTTAGGTTATGCTTGGTGCATAGAATGGTACGGGTTGGTGGTTGTTGGCTGGACTGTGATTCGTCTGCCTGATCTCTACAGCGGTCTCATCCCAAGCTTAGGAAATCTTCCAAGCTAGAACTGGAACTATGAATGCGCCAAATTCTATCAAAATTGGATATACGTCTTGACACTTTGGGATCAGGCTAAAGAATGGCGTTTTTCAAAATCAAACGCGTCACCAGGAAAGAAGTTCTAATGAATTTCTAATTAAAATACTAGAATTAGCCAACTTACAGTTGCAAGTTTGAAAATGAAAATATATCAAAGCAACTGGAGGGTCTAGAAATTAATATTTTACCAGATAAAGGTATAGATCAATATAAGGGACTATATACCTTTCCGGACGGGTCTAAGTTTGAAATTTTGCTGAGCGCGAGGGATATCAAGTCCCTACTCGTCCGCTGTGTATGGTGGCTGCTCATTCCATGACAGCTGTCTCAGAGCATGTGTGTCGCATGGCTAAACTATATCATCTTCTCTTTATTGAATTATGTGGAATGTATACAGTTCGTGATCAATTTCAGGATAATAGTTTCATTTTTTCCCTGTCTCCTTTCTATGAAAATGTAATATGCTTGGTATTTTGTTTTTTGTTTTAAATGTCAATATAATTTACATTACAGACTGTCATCAACAATAACTTTTATAGCAGTTTCTACAGCCTCAACAAAAGATGGGAATGTTGGATCTCCTAGGCACGTGATCAGCAGCTGTGGAATCCTTTCCAGATTCTGCTGGTGTTGATCATAGGCCAAAGGAAAAGATCCACGCCTCAGAACAGCCTGCAACAACAAAAGTCGTATAATAGTGGTAATGATGCAGAAGTCATTTGCAATTATGGTAACAGTTTGTATTGTAAACATAATTTTTTTTTAGTTTAGTTAGTTAGTTAGTCGACAGATTATCCTTACTGCACGTTGAACCACTCAGCCCGTAGGTGCTCGTATCTCCTTCTCGGTAAATCCCGCAATGTGTAGCGGCTAATTACACCAGTTCTGTGTTGATTTATTATTATTCTGTGGCTTTCTGCGTAGTGTTCTTGTTTGGCGACACCAACTGTAACATGTCATTCTTGCAGTCTGGCCATGGTTGCAGATTTACAGTTCTCATTGGTTGACGAAAACAGCTTACCTCTCGTAGAGCATTCAGTGTATCAGCCTGGTCCATGGCTTGTCCAGATTTCACAGTAGCCTTACCTGCAAGTCTATAAGCTTGCTCATTTCCTTGTACCCCTTCATATCCTGGCACGAAAAATGCAACTAATCCTTGTCAGCATTGAATTCTGTAGAGCCACCAACCACTGCCTTCGGGCCCAGCCCTTTACTATCTTCCTGAGCAGACTCGAATCACTAAGACAGCATGCCCCAGTGAAAGTCTGTGTCTAGTCATGTTACTGCTTTAGTCACAGTCATGACCTCCATAGTCAGACTACTTGTAGTTGCGGCAAAAGCTTCAGAATCTTCCTTCACAACTCTCTCTCCAACCTGGGCCGTGAAAACCCACGTAGCGGATTACAGAACCATCTGTGTAAATGATTGCATCACCCTCTAAAGCGTTCTCGAAAATCAAGGCTTGAAATGCTTCCACAGAAGCCGGACTCTCGTGTCTGCAAATCCTGTCTAGCTAGAGGCAAACAGAAAAAGAATTACAGCACTTTGAAGGCACTTGCACCCACTTCTCGCTGGATTTTTTCTCCTCAAGTGAACATACCTGTAAAATAATGTCCTCGGCTTGATCCATTCACAATTTGCCTCTTTTTAACCTGCTGTCTTTTATCTTATTTATTTGACTATGTATGTAATGGATGTTGTGTGTCCGCCTTGACTGTGAGGCATGCACGTGTTTGGGAAATTTGTATTCTGTCTTCCATGGTTGGAAAATCGAGATGGTAGTGCATCACCTTGAATGCTGTATTTCTTGTATACCCAAGTAAAATGCGCATAGCCTTGTTTTGTATCCTTTCCATCTGCTTATGACCGAGAGTCAGAATCGCAATCGCGAATTCAAAAATAGAAAAGACCAGACCCTGGTATAGAAGACATAGATGACGCTGTTCACAGTTTTCCGCCGCCATCACTCTCATCGTAGCCAGACCCCGCTTGGCTTTCATTATAATCTTATTTATATGCTCAGCATAAGCAAGGCTTCGATGAAACTGTATCCCTGGGTATTTCATTTCATGCGTTCTTCCTACGACCTCAGAACACAGACTAACAACCGGTGTTGGAGTTTTCACAGTATGGTTTTTCAAAGAGAACCATGTAACTGCCACCTTCGTTGGAATGACCAGGGCACCAGCTTCACCACACCAAGTGCTTATGTGGTTGAGCTCATTTTCTAGTTCTTCAGCAATCTTCTCTCTACCCTTGTCTGCCCTGGCGATACATTAACATCTCGCCAGCACATATGACAGTGTTCTTCAGGGTCCTGTGATTTGCTCGCCTGTGATTCTCACTGTGTAAACGTTGAACAATACCGGAGATAATGGCGATCTTTGTGGCAGGCCGGGGTGTTCTTTTTTTTTTTAACTGTACGCTGAACTTTTACTTCACATAAAGTAACACAGAATAGTCATCTTCTTCTTTAGCATTCTGAACCCTTGAGGTTTACTGCTGCAGATATCACTCGTCTCCATTCATCTCTCTGGCTGGTCTTCTATTTACAATTTGTGACACCAGTTGTTCGCAGGTCTGACTGGACATTATCTCTCGAACTTCTTTTTTGTCTGCCTCGTGGTCTACGCCCATTCCTCTCTCAGGTGTATACAGTTTTTCTTCTCTGTCATCTTACATTCTTTCAATATGTCCCAAAAATGTTAGCCTGTTAGCTCTCATGATGCCAGTGATCAATGGCAGATTATGTGTTACGTTGTTACTTCTCACTCTCCATTGCCCGCTGTTAGCATCTTTGATGGGTCCAAAGATTTGTCGTAAGAATGTTTTCGAAAACCTGTAATAGGGCCTCATCTCTTTTATTTCTTCTTCAAGTTTCAGAGCCATATAACACGACTGGTCTTATCAACGTTTTGATTTTGGTGTTGCGAGACAGCACTTTGACTTTAGCAGATGTTGAAGGGCATAGTATACTTTATTTCTAGATTGTATTCTAAATTGTATTTCTTCTCTCAGCATGTTGGAGCAGTTGAAGTTTGCACCCAAGTACTTATGTTTCCGTTCGTTTGATTTCATATTATCAACTTGGATGTGGCCGGAGTTTATACTCTTTCTATGTCTATAAGTATTCGTACAGAATAGTAAACGTTTAAAAACATTTTATGTTTTGCATCCTTCAGTCAATCTGTGATAACTAATAACTAGGAATGAAAGAATCCTAAGTATTATAACAAGTAACTAAACTTGTAAATTTTAAATTGTCACTGACAGCTTAGTTAATGCATGTAAGCTGCATTAGCTTTCAACAAAACCAATCGTTCCTTGTTGTTAGTATTAGGGCCGTTTATGCAGAAGCGGGTGTAAGGTAACTACTATTCGTATCCGGCCAGACCGGAACTATTAGGCCGAATACCGAATAGTCAATAGGTCCACTATTCGGCCCCGAAGCGAATACGAAGGGAATATTCGGTACAGCCCTAATAAAGATATAAACACTTCTGTGCTAATTCACCTGGGCTAGGCTGTGCTTTACACTCCGCACCCTTTCAAAAGGAACAATCAAACTTCAAAATCATGCAAGAAATATTCAATAAAATAATCTTTACGAAAAAGAATAGAAATACAGAATGAAAGAAAGCACTTAATACTTCTGAACTAGGTGCTCGGGATGTACTCGTTGAGTCTTATTAGGAAGTTAGGGACCGCTTTGTACATTCTGGCCTGAATGTGTCCCATGACGCCCCATGCAGGAATGCTAATGCTGGGTTCTCCCCCCCCCTCCCCCTCCAAATCTGGGTTTTTTAAGTTGCCGTCAGGGTTTCTATGTTTTTATGTTGAAAATTATTGAAAAGCTGAGATTCTGAGTCATGCTGATGAAAAAACTACATTTAATCAATATTTTAATGGGAATAACAGTTTTATTAGAAAAAGTTTTCGTTTGAGTTTGAACTAAAACAACTATTTGGTAAGAGGCTAGCAGCCCATACAACTGCATCATCCTAAAAGTGAAGCGTGGTAAACGATGTTTTTGATTCAACCACTCGATCTGATGGATGAAGTCTGGCAAAACGAATACCCACCACAACAATGGAAAGATGGTGTAATCTTCAAATTACCTAAAAAAGGTGATTTATCCGATTGTAACAACTGGAGAGGCATCACCCTGCTTTCGATACCAGGGAAACTATTTTGTAGTATGCTACTAGAAAGATTGAAAAAATCCATAGATGAAAGATTAAGGGAAGAACAAGCCGGTTTAAGATCCAAGCGGTCATGCATAGACCACATCTTTACTCTTAGAATAATTGTTGAAGATTCTACTGAATTCCAGTCGAAATTATTGATCAACTTTGTCGACTTTCAAAAAGCCTTCGACAGTATCCATCGTCCAACACTCTGGAAATTGCTTAACATCTATGGTTTCCCCATCAAATATATCAACATCATAAAATCTTTTTATAATGAAACACGATGCTGTGTAAGAACTGATTCCGGCAATTCTGACTGGTTCCCGGTGGAAACAGGAGTGAAGCAAGGCTGTGTCCTATCGCCGATGCTTTTTGGTATAGCAATCGACTGGGTCATGCGCAAGTGCATAAATAACGCAAATTTAGGCATTACATGGGTTGACAAAATTCTGGAAGACCTAGACTTCGCCGACGACATAGCACTCCTGAGTTCAGAACACACAGACGCCCAAGAAAAAATCAATCGACTCCAGAATTTCTCAGAACAAATTGGACTCCAAATTAACACCGCAAAAACAAAAATTCTAGACCTTACCAACAGTTCAGTTGATATCACGCTGAACAACAACAGCCTTGAAAAAGTCAACAGTTTCACTTATCTAGGGAGCAAGATGTCATCTACAGGAGATACCGCACCAGAAATATCATTTAGAATAGCACTGGCATCTAGTGCCTTCAATAAACTGTCTAACATCTGGAAATCAAAGACACTTAGCAAACACACAAAACTCAAGATCTTCAATTCTTGTGTGATTCCAGTACTAACCTATGGATGCGAGAGTTGGAAATCAACGAAAACTCTAGACACAAAATTAGACAGTTTTGAAAATAAATGCCTTAGAAGAATACTAAATTTCAAATGGTCAGATTTCCGAACCAATACACAAATAAGGCAAGAATCCAGGCAAGAGTATGTGTCTAATTTTATACGAAAACGCCGCTGGAACTATGTCGGCCACGTCCTTAGAATGGATAAATCAAGACTTCCTTACCAAGCCCTCATTTGGACACCACAGGGGAAAAGATCTCGTGGAAGACCAAGGGAAACCCTACGTAGAACTATCATCAGGGAAGGCTCGCTCATGGGCCACTCAAACATCCAAGACCTACAACGGATTGCAACGGACCGCCGTGCATGGAGAGTCACGACCTCTGCCCTATGTGCCGCACTCGACACAAGAGGAAAGACTAACTAACTAACTCGATCTAGCCTCTATGCAAACTGGTGAAACAGTATACAAGTGCTAACGAAAGCACAATGCACAGGTGGAACAGCAAACAGCCAACTTACCAGACTTAAGATCCTGTAGAATAAGTTGTGCAGTAAAAGATACTAGAAGCTTACATACAAAATGTTTACCGAGACTCGAAACCCCTAGTGTAAATCAACAGTAGCGTGAAGCAACGTGACAAAAAAGAAAGGGTTTTGGAGGTCTTTTCTCAGAGGGATGACTAATGCCAATTGAAGGATACTATATATAGTTACTGATTCCCAAAATTCAAAAACAATTACAAGAAACGAAAATAAAATTTACCTAGGAGGGAAAGCACCAAATAAAAAACATCGACAGTAGAAGAGACCAAAAAAATAAACAAAAGAAATTATGTTGATGATCTGTAAATGAAACAGGTGACTATCATTGACAGAATTTATACAGAACATAAACAGCCACACATATGTGAAGAGACATTAATAACCATTTCATGGGGCAAGGTACATGATGATGATGTTCCACATTTCCTTACCAAGTTTGTACAGTTCTCATTATATACTGACAAAAACGGAAAACTAATTGCAATGCAGTGACACATGTTCAAGAAAAGAAATTATTTTACTAGGCATTATATGGTGTGAAGTCACACAGACGGTAAGACGGGTGAGTTACACGTGACTGATAGTAAATGACAGGATGCCTTGATTGAGGGCCTATGTTTCATTAGGGGATAGAGGGATAAAGCAAAAAAAAAAAAGAAGTATTATGTGTTTGCTGCCAAAATTTTCTTTATCTTTCCTGGTTATTATGATTCAATGTTTCAACAGTTTAATTATTATTTTGCTTTCTCTTTTGCTCCTGGTATTTAACTATTGCAGAACTACAGAAACATACTATGTGTGACTGTCTACTTTAGTCAAAACAGATTTTCTCATAATATGCCTGTTCTAGCAAAAAACAAATTATGTTCAGACTATTCAATACAATATAAACATGTTTACCTGTGCAACTGCACCTAATGTCACTTCTTCGCAAAATTCTGTAGAGCTTTTCATTTCCACTCCAGATGTCTATTAAAAATATATTAATTTTTTTTACTTTTACAACATTTGTGAATATAATTTCAAATTGACTGTCAGAAAAACAAAACCAGATATTATTACCAAAATACACAAAATAATGACCAAAGTAATTCAAGAAATTGGGCCACAAGCTTGTTCAGCAGATAATGTGTTGACCTAATTCAGTTATTAACAGAACAGGTTAGTTATGTTTAGCTCTACTAGCCAACATTTCTGAGTGTTTAAAAAACATGATCAAGAAATCAATGACATAATGGTGAGTTTTTTATTGTGTCAGCAACTGTATTCCTGTTTTTCGCTGTATAACTTTTTTATATAAATGTGTAACAGGCTTTGACCAAACATGTCAGTGTCACATACCTATACGTGTAGTTTGAGGTAAGAGTAAATCCTCCAACAGATTATATGTGCAGTGTATCCTCCTTTTTCTGGTATGATTAAAAAGCACACCCAGGTGACAATATTAACCAAGTGCATGGGTCAGTGGTAGATAACATAAGCTCTAAGCCAGCCCACACCCCTATCATCAGCTTACTGATGTAACAAGTAGAAGGTAACTTCTGCCTGCCTGTTTTGCCGGTGTTTCTACAATATGAAATAAAGCAAGTTTAACCTACTCATCTCAATACAAGGTAAAGATGACTACGTGAATTTTATTTTGCTTTAAAAAAAAACACAAATGAATAATTATATACAAATCTATGATCTGAATTGGCCACAGATGAATGATGCTTCTGGGCGGTAATTAATCTGCACCATCAAGACCATACTCTTTTCTATCTGTGACCCTTCGCTCTACCTATGACTTCATGCTCATCTGTGGCTACTCTGGGATATGACTGCAACAGTTTGCTTTCTTTTTTTATGTTTCCATCATTAACTGTGAAGCCTGGGTCATCAGCCCTTACAATTCTTTTGTCCAGAGAGCACCATTAAAACAGCCACCTTTTATGGGTTGACAGCACCCATCTCTGCACATCAGTTAGTCACTTTGTCTACAGTAGCCTGTAGCCTACCACTCCCTTGTCTATATGCAAGAACATCATCTGCAAATGTCAAAATCCTTTCAACCCTGGTGCTTCAGCTTCTGCAGTCTTTCTTGTAGACACATTGAAGAGCACTGGTGATATTGCAGAACCCTGGGAAGATACTGCATGTTTTTGAGGGCCATGAACCCAGATGGAGAGCCACCATATGTGAATGCAACACAGCTGCTAATTAGTTTACCAGCGATTGATATGCCCTCTTCTCCATGAGTGCAAATATCAAAATATCATATTTGACTCTACTGTAGGCATCCTCAAGATCAAGTGCTGCCACAACCATCTCCCGTCTATTCTGGAACCCCTTCATCGTCATCATCAGGTGCCTTGCCGACTGGCGTGGGCGACCATGCCTCTCCATAATCCACGATCTCCTGCAGCATGTTCGTGTGCCGACACACCTCCATGCCATGAAACAAGACTGTCAAGAATCTTCTCTCGTTGTCTTCCTCTATCCCTCCTTCCACAGATCTTCCCAGTGGTCACAACATGTTCTATTTTCCCTCTTCTCATTACATGGCCGAAAAATGATGACTGTCCCCTTCTGATGTCTGTGATAATTTGTCTTCGGTGACTTTTTTCTATCAAAACTGTGTCATCAGCATAACGTAACATGTTTATATTGTGCCCACCAAAAACAATTCCGGGCATATAAATTAAAGATCTCATTATATATTCACTGTATATTGAAAACAAATCAGGTGATAGTACACATCCTTGTGGTACGTCCCTCTTTATGCTTTGAAATGTACCTAAACAGTTTTTAATTCTTATAGCTGCTGTTTGCTGCCAATACATATTCTTTATTATTCGTAGATCTTGTCCATCAATGTTTAATTTTTCTAACAGTTTGATTACTTCTTCATGCTTCACACAGTCAAGTGCTTTTGTATAGTCTATGAAGCATAAGTACAAATCAGTCTTTACTTCTATAGCTCTTTCTGACAATGTCTTTAGGATGTATATGGCATTGTTTGTACCTTTTCCTTCTACAAATCCATACTGTTCATCGCTGATTTCTGGTTTAATTTTGTTTTTTGTTCTTTTTATAATTATTGTCAGTAAAATCTTAGTCATGTGACTCATAAGACTTATTGGGTTCTCCTTAAAACTACGGCCACTTATTATGGAGTACGCCGGAGTTCAGTTCCTGGCCGCATTGCAATTACGGAGTGGACAAGAGGGAACGACACAAATGACGTAATTACTGTGTGTTGGCGATAGATGCACTGCCGTCATAACAGGGTTAGGGTAGGGTTTGGGTTAGGGTTAGGGGTAGGGTTAGGGTTAGGGGTAGGGTTAGGAGTGGCCGTAGTTTTAAGGAGTACCAATACCCTAACCCTAACCCCAACCCAAACCCTAACCCTATTATGACAGCAGTGCATCTATCGCCAACACAAGTAATTACCTCATCGGTTCACGCTGTCTATCGCCACCACACAGTAACTACGTCATTTGTGTCGTTCCCTCTTGTCTATTCCGTAATTGCAATGCGGCCAGGGGACTGAACTCCGGCGTACCCCATAATAAGTGGCCGTAGTTTTAAGGAGAACCACATATTGTGCGATGGTCTTCAAATTTTTAAGTGCCTGGTTTCTTTGGCAGAGCTGTAAATATGGATTTTAAAAGGTCATCTGTTACCACCACCACCCCCCCCCCCCACCCACATCACCAGGTTAAACTCAGCATGCAGTAAATACAACATGAAGATCAATGCAAACAAAACCGAAACAATGCAAGTTAGTAGTACCCCTGCCCGAATACACATACAGCTGAATGGTTCTGCCCTCAATCAAGTTAGGGAGTTTATATATCTAGGAAGTATGACCACAGAAGATGGTAGAATCGACAGAGAAATAGAAACCATATGCCAGAAAGCAAGTGCACTTATATACGAATTTTCACCATTGTTAAGACATCTAAGCATCCCTATGAGTGCAAAGAGACAGATTATTAATAACATATTTATTCCAACATTAAGCTACCAGTGCCAAACATGGACACTATCTAACGCCCAAATACGCAAAATCACCACCTGTGAGATGAGGTGCCTGAGAAAAGCAGCCAACCTAACCATCTGAGATCGAGTGAATAATGAAACTATCAGACAAATTGTGGAAACGACACCTTGTACTAGATTCATCGAGAAACGGCAAAGTGGTTTGGCGATCTTGTTAGAATGCCGCAAGATCAAATACCATCGCAAGCACTACATCTCAGAAGATCAGCTACAAGAGCAAGAGGACGGCCGCGAAAAACATGGATCGACAACATTATAGACACTCTACGCCTTCACGGCATGACAATAGCCAGTGGCAACCAACCTGTACTGGATCGCAAATTATTCTTCCCTACGGCGCTTAACGGCAGAAGGGGTTTATGATGATGATGGTGATTTGGAACCTTTTTTAAACATCAAAAGCAGATGTGGCTGCATGTGAACACGCTATCGTTTTTCAGCCTGTAACTCCTGAAACCTCTTGACAGGAGCTCTTCCCTTTAAAACAAAAATGTTTGCAGTTTAAAAGCAATCATCCTCTCCTGCGTCTTGCCAAAAGTATTTTGTAAAGTGATAATCTTGAAACTACTAAGCCTTGAAATGATCTTTTTGGAAGTGGGATGAAACAGTTATGCACTAAATTCTAGAGTATTGACGCTGTTTTGATGCAAGTAAAAAGCCATCTCCCTCAAGTCTTTATCTCTCATGCCCTTCGTGTGGGCACACCTGACTCTGGTCTAGGAATTTCTAAGTTCCCTATCATCATGATCAGTAAGTGCTGTGAATCTCTACAAAAATGCTTCCTCCTTTCCTTTTCTGTTGGCACAGACATACTGTAATCTGTTTATAATGGCTGTTGTGAAAGACCAATCCTTTCTTTATATCTGTCTGTGAAGTTTCCAAAACCTATTCAGGGATTTATCTTCAATTTTGTTCACAAAATGTTCCCATTTAGCCTTTTTTGTTTTTCCGTACCTGCTTCACACCACTTAAACTCTTTTTACTTTTTTTATTTTCTGCCTTCTCTACTTCTTCTTGTAACCTGTGAGGTGTCTTCTGCACTTTCCATAATTATTTAATTGCTGCTCTCTTTGTTCTCCATGCCTGTTCTACACACAAGTAGAGCTGGTGTCTCTGTCAAAGGAATCCAAAAAAGGTACTGACCCTCTTGTACTTAAAAGTCTTGCACGTTGTCATAGCCCTGATCCTCCTACCTTTAGAATGAGTTGAGTTGATATAAGAACCGACATCACAGCAATGGGGATCTCCATAAGCGCTCCGTCTCCATTTTCAGCAGCCAGTGCAGAGTTCCAATACTAATGGTGCCAGTAGCATTCTGATTAAACGTCCGTCTTGCCTTCTTCTTGCCTTGAGCATCTGCCAGAACCTCTTGTCACTCCCCGCATCATCAATCTCACCTGACTGTAGTGATCCATCTGCTTTTCCGAACTGTACAAGCTCTCCGATAAGGCACTACTCACGTCTGCCTTATCATGCATCAGTATTCCACAAAGTTGTGCAGAGTCAGCTATTCTGTCCACCTGTTCATTTTCCAGAAAAAAAAAATCTGACTTTACTCTTCACCCATTCTAGTCGGCCTCCCATCATTGATGCAGACCATATCGGAGTCAACCATGGCCTCTGCAAGATCAATTCCCTGTTGGTTTTCTCCACTGCTGTCCCATTCTCTGTTCCTCACATTCAAATTCCCACATGTGAGTAACCTATCATCTGGTAACGCCTCCAATTCCTTGAGCCAGCCCCATTGTTCACTTCTGACAAAACAGTCTACTGTGGCCTATATATTAAGACAACAATCTCCACATGTATCCCCCAAACCTCTCTTCCACTGTGGTCCCACTGGCTCAAGTCAAGTACCACATGCTTCCCTCCTTCCTCCACAACCAGACCTTGTCCATGTTTCTCCTGTCCAACAGGGTTTATATAACTGACGTACACATGACAATGATATTTGTCGGTATTTAGCTTCTGAGCATGACATAGAAATCAAACAGCCTCTCCAGAGCAACCTCTGCATAGCACTCCGACAGTTCCAGTATCCTACTCTTACATGATTGAAGCCTTATCTCTCTGCTTTTTGTCTTGTTCTCCTAGCACCTGCCCTCCTATTTCTATGCCCTTTTCTCTCCCCACTCCCTCGTCGTCTCCTTCTCACTCTCTCTTCACTAACAGCTGAAAAATGTGTCGAGCGCATGGCACGTGCTCCGTAGCTCCGGCGACGATTCCTATGTATATTTTAAACCATATGGGGGGGGGGAGTACTGCAGGAAATGACCGGTCGCCCCAGTATTGCCTGTCTGCAAGGGAAGAGGCAGGGGATGTCCCGTAGGTGTCCATTCGCCTGGTGCCGCATCGCACGACCGCCATACGTCCAACGTTTACGAATAGCTCACCCGTGGCCATCCAGTTCCTCAGCGCGTTGGCCCACCCTGAACTTGGGGATGCATATTCGGAGTTTGCTGCCTCCTAGATGGACTGCTGTCCAAAGCTAATGAGTTCCACCTACCTGGGAAAAGGAGTTATAGCGCCCCGACCCGCTTGGCAGGCACCTCTCTGAGCTAATGAGGTATTTTCTACGGATTTCAGATCCCACCTTGAAATCCCGCCTCGCCCTCTGTGCCTGCCGCCAATGCTTAGGTATTCACAGCTAACCTCTCTATATAGAGGCTATTCTACAATCCGCCACCAATAGACGCGCTCGGTTGGGAGTGGTCGCCACAGCTTTAGAAATCAGCACAGAGCATGGCTTACAGTCACTTCCATGATCGACTAGGACACAATTTACACCCAGCAAATGCCAAATTAATAGCTATTTCTGCATCACCAAGTCTTATTTTCATTCTAGTTGGCCTACTCTCATGTATAGACTACGCCTTTATCTAACATAGTGTTTGCTAGAGAATTGTCTTGTCTATTTTTACAGTACTGTCCTATACTCTGTTCAGCGCAATGAAATCCTTACAAAGAGAAACCTATTACTAGGAATTTTCTCCAACTTTCTGAGCCAGTCTCAATGCTTCGTTGCGACAAAAAAATCAACAGCAGTGTAAACATTTACTAAATTCCAGGTTATGCCCCCACTACCTATCTGTATACCATGAACCTCTACTGTACTATGATTTCACTGACATAGGCCAAGAACCATATGCTTTACTCCCTTCTTCACCAGTAAAATTTGCCCATGTCTTCCCTGCCCGAAACAATTTATAGAACTAATGTTTCTGGAACACTCATTTTTACTTATATTTATTTAAAGAAGCATGATGATATAAGTCATAAATCAGCTTCCCTAAAACAGACCATCTCCGCTTAGCACAACGACAATTTCAGCAAGAGACAAACAATAAAATGCAAGAGATAGACAATAATTTAAGTGGAAACATAAATTCAAGTGAAGGACGAACAACAGTCTCTTTAAGCTTGCTAAGAAAGCATAAAGCAGAAAGATTGTAGATCTTGGCTGAAAAATCTCCATAGTTAAGACTGCACTTCAGTAATTGAATTATGTGCATGATTTTTATCAAACCCTAGTCTTAAATAATCATCTTCTCATAATTCATTTTAAATGGCTTTGGTAGTCATCTCTTTCTGCAGATTTTGATTCCATTTCTTATATTAGATTATAATTATTAACTAAGACTAGGCTATTAAACTCACCCTTGGCTGTGTCAAGTCCATATGTTTCTTTTTCCACAGTATTCAACTGTGTGCTGTTTTTATCTCCATTTTCAATAATATTAATCTTTATTGGGAAAAATGTTGACAGTTTCTTGACAGCCTTCATGCAGGCTTCCTCCGCAGACATCCCGCTGGTACCATCTTGGCAAAACCTAATCCTAAATCTTCTTGTCGCCTCCTGATTGGATAAAGGTTATTAAATTAGGACAAATGTTATGTCAAATTATTACATGTATAAAAGATGTTAGACTAACTACTGGTTTACATTCCAAAGGTAATAGACTAACTACTGGTTGACATTCACAAATTTGGCAACATACTGGGCCCAAGGAGTGCCAGATTTGTGAAAATGCCACATATGTTATGGCTATATATGCTGTACATGTTCAACGGAATACGACTATATGTACAGTCCTTTAAAAAAAAAAAAAATTAAACACTAAATGAAAAGCAGATGCAATTTAATGTTCACCAACTAAATTAAACAGTTGTACAGAATTTTTGTTCAACCGAATAAACAGATCTTAATAATTTGAATTAAAATAAAAAAGATCCTCAGAACTTTAGTTCCACGAAACAAAATAGGACCTCAGAATTTTAGTCACTACTGTACCCTTGACAAAATGCTAAACAGCAACCATGCTATCAGGATTTTTGTCTTCATGAATGACAGTAACAGCATTCTCAGTAACAAGCATGCTGAGGAAGATAAAACAGGTATGCTTCGTGCAGAGTGGCATGCTTCGCTGCGGATTTCACGAGTGAGGAGTATTGTCTGGATTTTTTCTCCGGGTCACGCCGGTGTGATGGGAAATTAACAGGCGGACAGACTGGCTGGCTCTGCACAACTTCGTAGAATACTGATACATGTTAGGGCAGACGTGGTTAGTGCCTTGTGGGAGAGAGTGTACAATTCGGAGGAGCAGATGGATCACCACAGTCTGGTGAGATTAATGTTTGGGGTGACGAGAGGTTCTGGCAGATGCTCGAGGCTCAGAGGAAAGGCAAGACGAACGTTTAATCAGAATGCTACTGGCACCATTAGTATCGGAACTCTTCGCTGGCTGCTGAAGATGGGGACGGAGCGCTTATGGGAATTCCCCGAGTGCTGTGATGTCAGTTCTTGAATCAAATCAAATCAATCTCAGCAACAAGAACAGCATCAATTAGTCGAGGAAACGATCATGGTGATGATAGCACATCTGGTTGAGTTAAGTTGACAGCAGTGCGAGCATCACTGATGCTTCTTCATGCTTCCTAGCTATTTTCCTTGAATATATCATGCATATATAATATATATAAATATATCAATATATAAATATTTATATATGAATATATAAAATAACAATAATTGGTGAATAAATTGAAAATGTCACGAACTTTGAATATCTAGGCTTTATAATAAATAGCAATGGAGACATTTTGACAGAAATTAAAAGGAGGATGGCCATAGCAATGCAAAGATTAAACAGCCTAAAAAGGCTATGGTTAAGCACCAGCAAGTAGATCAAAATTAGAATTTTGAGAGCATGCATCTTCCCTGTAGCAACATACGGATGTCAGTCGTGGACTATCTCTCAGTCCTTAAGAAAGAGAATAGGGGCTTTTGAGCTTAAATACTTCAGAAAGTCTTACTCCCTGCTTTATCTGTTCAAAAGCACCCAATCTGTTTTCCATTTAATTGCTGCTACTTGGTTCTAGTAAATGTTTTTAATTATTCTGAGATCTTTCCTATCTACATTGATGTCTTCCAACATGTTTATCATCTTCTCATGTTTAACTTTTTCGAATGCTTTGGTATAGTCTATAAAGCACAAATATAAGTCCTTTTGTATGTCCGCTGATCTTTCTATCAGTGTTCGCATTTTAGTAAACACTAAAATACGTGGTATCTGGGAATCTGCAAGGGTTACCAGGCTTGGTAGTCAGTGGGTGAACAGAAAATTAATGTTGATCGTAATGTTATGAAAATTTACCAAAATGGTAGAGATCAGTGAGGTGAATATGATAGCCAGATTGAAATTGTTCACAAAATAGAAGAACTGGTCTAGCTCACTTTTTGACATTTCAGAAATAACCCAGTCATCTATATACCTCTTGTAGACACCTTGAAATTGTTCTTCGTATGCTGAACCAACCTTGTTTTCAACGTGACCCATAAAGAGTCACGTGTAACTGGGACCCATCTTGGTGCCCATCGAGACCCCAATGATCTGGTCAAAGAACTCACCACTAAACTCAAAGGAGCTGAAGGTAAGTACCAGTTCTGCAAGGCGTACAAGAACTGCAGTGGTGATCAAAGGGCTGGACCTCTTGTCCAAAAAAGAACTGGGGTTGAATTGAGTCAGGCATTTACATCACAGTACTCGGGGCATTCCTATGCGTGCTCCGTCCTCATCTTCAGCAGCCAGCGCAGAGTTCCAATACTGATGGTACCGGTCACAATCTGGTTATATGTTCGTATTGCCTTTCCTCTAAGTGTAGTGAGCCAGCCAGACCCTCTGGTTACACCCAGGTGCCTCTTTATCTCCAGGCCATAATAATTTTCTTTCTCTACTGATTCCATTGCTTGTTCCCAAACGGCCTTGACCCCATCTGCCTTGTAATGTATCAATTCACCACCCAGTGGTGCAGATCAAGGCAATCTGTCTGACTGTTCATTACCCACTAATCCGGCATGGCCTGGAGAAAAGATCCAAAGAAAAAAATAGAGTACCTTAGACCATCTGAGTGAGGGATATACGTAATGGACGGAGCATACGTCTGTGAAAAAAAAAAGATGACAGGTTTTTCCCATAGTAGCCTGATGATGGGTGTGCTGAGGGCATGGTTGGTATCCTTTACAAATAAAGGCGGGCTTGCAGCAATAAGTTTGAACATGCTGTCCAAAAATTCAGAAATGTACACTGTGGGACAGGAGCACGCATATACAATGGGACGTCTAGCATTGTTGGGCTTACAGATTTTAGGCAGTAGGTACATCCACGGCTTGCCAAGCTGGCTGACAGAAACAAGTACATTACTGGCATACTTTGGTAGGGTCCCTCGTGAAACAAAGGAAAGTGTCATTGACTTTTTTGTTGATGGAAACTGCAGAGCTATCATTTCTGGCTGAATAGAAAATGAAGTTTTCGAGTTAGATACTGCTATTTTTAGTGTAGAGATCCTTCCTCCAAACTACCAAACCCCAAGTTTTTTTCACAGACCTGAGTGTCCGCTATTCACCAAAAGAGAGGTTAGATGTTCTCCAACTGTTGGACAGCATAGAGGGTGTGGCTGATATACAAATCAAGAGCCTTAGATTTACCACTAGTTTGAGTCCCCTGTGATCAGGGATTTTTTTTAAAGGAATTTTTTTTTTTTTTGCCTACTGGCACTGCAGGGGTGGGTGGTTCATCATAATGATATTTCAGATGTAGATGCCAGTGAAGGAAGTGTGCTTCCTGGAGGTCAGCAGGGGATCTTAGAGGGACATATTTAAAACCTGTCCTGGTGAGGGTGTATACATCATCAGAGAGGGACAGTGAAGGTGGGACGCACACGACAAGGTTATGGATCAGCGATGGATTGGTTGGTGATTCAGACGACAGTAGGGGGTTTGGAGGTTATTCATTTTGTTCTTCTTGACATTGGTAATGAAGTAATACAAATCCTGATTGATTGTGTGGATAATGAAGTGGCTGATTAGAGAGGCGACTGATATTGGTCCAAAGTATCCGCTGACTGTGTACTAGACTATCAATCGATCTGCCAAGATGTAGACGGTGACATCTGTGTGCATCTCAAATGCATCTCATACGTAGGAATGCACATTTCTCTTCGATTCTGGCCAACAGTCTACTTCAGTTCAGAGATGGTGGTGATGAGGTGGCAACTAAAGGGTGTAATTTGGGGCAAATCCTCTGGGATAATTTTTTTAACGTAAGCATCGGCGCTGAAAATTCCAATGGGATGTAGCGCTGGTTTTCTTGAAAGTGATAAAATCTAGACTTTTTGCGATCAGTGACAACTTAACTGGCATCAGAAGGTTTGCTAGGACATCCTAAGGCTAGAGAAGGAGGTGATTACTATGAAAATATCAGGTGAGATTTGCTTTTGAAGAGGACAAATAGAAGTGAAGTGACCCGTGGAGAAGCCAGCTTTTCTTAGTATTTTATTATTTAATATAAGAAGTAAAAGAATGATAAAATGAATAGAACTGTTGGGGAATAGCAAGAGACATTTAATGCATATCTTGGGAATAAAAGAGTTAACAATATTAAGATTAAAATATTGTTCTTCTTTGAAGACTTCCAGGATAAATGAATTGGTGAGGTCAAATGTACTACTGCAGGACATTAATTGCAGCAACCAGAAGCTGTCACAACAGTTTTGTAACAGAGAGGGGGAGGGGGGGGGGTTGTGCTACCATGATGTAATGGGCAAATAGTTTTCATTCTGATTATAAGATAAGCCAGTTATATATATATATATATATATATATATATATATATATATATATATATATATATATCTATATATATATATATATATATATATAAACTGGCTTATTTTTAGTTTAGATTGGCTGCTGCTGCTCATCTGGGTGGTGAGTTATGTTATCATAAAGCGGAAGTGGTGATGGCTCTTTGGGATCTATTAGACAGTGCAACAGAACAGACCAAATAACCATTCATTGATAGACTAATTTAGCGAGGAGTGAGCAGGGGGAGGGGGGGTTGGAAGCTATTCTACACTGCAGGGTCATGGGCGGACTTTTATTCAGGTTGCAACAGCTACTGTTAGCATACCGACTCTTTACTGGCTACTGAATAAGGAGACGGAGAATGTGTGGGAATTTTTTGAGTGCAGGGATGTCCATTCTTGATTCATTCATATAAATATCTCTCTCTCTCTCTCTCTCTCTCTCTCTCTCTCTCTCTCTCTGTGTGTGTTTGTGTGTGTGTGATTGTGTGTGTGCATGTGTGTATGTGTTCTAAAGATGTTTTAATGGACTTTTAATGAAACATGTGGTACTTTTGGTACCTTCGCCCTAGAAGTTTGCTACTATTCCCAAAAACCACTTTGGCAGCCCTGGACTGAATGCTTTCTAAGGTGTTGACATTTATCATTTCAGTTTATTGCTCACATACCTGCCTCAGTGAGAATATTGCACCTGTGCAGGCTCTTTCCCTTCCTGAAACCAAACTATCTCTACTTAATTAGGGTCCAGCTCTTTTAATTCTAGTATTTTTTTGCAAACATTTTTCCAATTTGGCTAAAGACGGAAATGCCCCTGTATGTTTCACAATCTCGTTTGTCTCTTTTAAATGGGAATAATAACCTTCCTAAAATGCAAATATAATAAAATACTGATATACCAAATTAAAATTAGATGTACATATTAAGGGTGCATTGAAAGTATGAGGAGAAATGAAACGAAGTGATAATTAACAAACTTTATTTCGAGAGGTGGGGTGGAAACAGCTAATGGAAGTCAAACAAATAAATGCCGCAATAGTTTCTACCTATGGCATAATCAGGACAAGAACTCACATCTGATTCAAGAGTTTCTTTCAACAGTTGTGACAAATGCCACAATTTAAGAAACATAATCTCACTATTAATTTTCTTTAAAATTTTCTCTACATCTTTACGTGTCTTTACTTGGAATAGTCCATTACAGAAATACATATACTGTCAATGTAAGCTATTTCTTTATAGCAGAAGGGTGCTGAAAACAACTGAGATAAATGGCACTGCTACAGTAACGGTGTACGGGTCAATGGCATTCTTGAATATGAGAAGCACAAATTCTACAAGGGAGCTGCCGTGGTTAACGGCTAGACGCTCACCGCCAGATCAGAAGGTCATGGGTTCGGGTCTCAATGGAGTCTTTTTTTTTTTTTAAAGACCTTGGCACCCAGGTCAACTCAGCCTTGAGTAGGCACAAGGTATAGTTCTTTGAAGTAAAGATGGCCAGCAAAATGCTGACCAGATTGCACACTAAGTGCCAATTGGTCAATAAAATATAGGTTTACCCATTGTGCCTGAAGGCTTGGAAAAAGGGTCAATTACTGTTAGTGTTACAAATTCTACAAGCAACAAATAACATCACAGCAATTGAAATAAACACAGACGTAATTTAAAGATACATCAGACAGTGAACTCAAGCATCACAGTACAGAGATAGCACAACCGTCAATGATCACTGAAGCAGATTCTGCAGTTTATCCAGGAGACAATATTATATATAGACAGTGCAAATATTTTAAATAATGGCAGACTACTGATTTCCTCTGAATAAGTACTTTCATAATAAGATAACAGTTATAACAAGATAACAAATACCTTTAATTTGCACATGAAGAGAAGGCTGTCACTGCGACTCAGTCCACGAATGTAGGATCCTGCATTCACAAGACTGTGACTTTCCTAAAATATATTAGAAAAGAAAGGGAATTTAAATTTGTAAATAATGACCATTCTTAGGACTGTCTTTTGAAATTCGTAAATGTATTAGCGCTCAGCTGCTGTTACTATTTTTTTTTTTTTTTAAAGCAAAATAAGTCTTCTCAATTTATCATCAAGAAAAAGTTGTTGGAAAATATAAATTTTGAAGCTGTTAATGATAGGATCAGTAAGTTACAAATGAAAGGAAAATCAAAAAATATCATGATGATTAATGTAAATGCAGCCACTGAGGACAAAGAAGATGATATTAAAACAGATTTCTATGATCTCTTTGAGAATATCATAGAGGAAACGGGACGTACTGATTGTCTTAAGAAATTTAAACGCAAAAATGGGAAGAGAAAACACAAATAAAAATGAAACAGTCAGTGAAAGCCTACATACAAATTCAGATGATAATGGCTGGAGTTTAATCAAACTTGCAGTAGACAAAGGACTACAGATAAGCAGCACCAGATTTCAAAGAAAAGATACATAAACAAACCTGACAATCATGTGACAAGATAACTTAAAATCAACCAGATCACATTGTAATACATAAAAGAAATGCATCAAACATACAACATAAAAGCTACAGAGGAGCTGACTGCCACAGTGACCTCTATCTGGTTGGCGCAAAATTAAAAATCAAGATAAAGAGATCCTTTTACACCAAGCTGCAAAGATCGCATCCAGAATACAATGGAGAAAGATTATATAAAACATTCATATCATAAAAATTTGCAGATAAATCAAAAAGTAAAACTGAAATTTTTACCAAAACCGTCACAGGAAGATGACCAAACCTGGATGGATATTAAAAATATATGTCAAACCACTGCAGAAGAATGCCTTGGTGTGAAAACTATAAACAGAAAGAACACATTTTTGATAAAATGTGTAAAGCAGCAGCCAAAAAAGAAAGCCAAACAAATGTGGCTAAATGATACAAGCAACATACAAAATGAAGAATATAGAACAGAATGTAAAGAAGCTACAAAAGTAGTTGGGCAGCAAAAACGAGAATACATTAACAGCATTGTTGTCAGAGGTCAGTGCTAGTATGGGACAACGAAAATGATAGTGATAATTTTTAACATCTGTATTAAATGACCTGAACATGAACCGTGTGAGTCGTGATCAGCTGAGCTGTACGCTTGGGAGAATTTTCAGGTTAGCTGAAGACGGGAAGTGAGTTGTGAAGGTAGAACAAAACGCATTCACAGAGAAGATTTGAGCGAGAAGATTCCAGGACACTGACGGCGACATCTAGTACTGGACAGTTAGAGCGTGGCATGTTAACGACTGTAGTAGTGACGGATAGAGATGGGTTTTAGTTAGATCGTGTTTGTAATTGACTTGTGTGGTGTTTGACGAAGTTAAGCTCTTGTAGCATCGTTACGTGGTTAGTATTGTTGAATTAGATTTCATTAGATTAGTTATCTAAGGTTGTTGGGTATTTGCTGTGGTGATAATTTCTGCCCTCGCACATTCAGGCACTCACTTTATGCGTATGCCTCATGATCCTCGTGTCAGGGCCAGCAACCGTGGAAAGAGCATGCCTGCAGCATCTTTAGATTATCTGCAATAGTCGGCAATGCAAGGAAATATCGCCTGCACACAATCGGGGTGTCTCTTGTACATCCTAGGATCACCCACATAGCTTCATTCTGTATGCACTCCAGTTTCACTAGCTGATTCTTCGAGACAGTGAGCAAACCCAGTCCATAATCAATTACAGAGATGATAAAGTGCTGGTCTAGTGTGAACATTCTCTGCTCCATGTCTATTGCTGCCATAATATTCAGTGCAATAGGACCTTTTTAGGCCGTAGATACAACCACCTCTATGTGTTCTTTGAAAGACAAGCTTCTGTCAAAGATTATTCCCAGGTACCGCAGTCTGCTGTCTCTCTTGATGTCCCTGCCATTTATTTTGAGGCTTGGAACATCAGCTCTAACAATCCTATTGTCCAAAGAACACCACAGGACAGTTGCATTTTCTGGGTTGATTACAGAACTCATCTCTGTACACTATTTGATCACCTTATCTACTGTCACCTGTAACTCTTGAGTATTTTGATTCCGATCTCTCCCCTGCCTATATGTGAGAATATCATCTGCAAATGTCAATTGTCTACCAACACAACTGAACTGTACAGGTGAAATTGCAGATCCTGTGGTAGTTCCTGGGCTATAATACGTGGTTCGGAGGTTCCTCACTGTGGTCTGTCCGTAAAATGAACCCTCTTCTCTTTGGCTGTGGTCGTCTCTGTGAATTGTTCTCACTAAGCTGGGCCGATATTTCTTGAGCATCTGTCTATGTAGCTTCCAAAACTTTCCCAAAATCTTATCACCCTCAATTTCACTAATAAAATGTTCCTATTTTGGTATTTTGACCTCTACTGCACAACGCTTGAAAACCTCTATTCTATCTTTCTTATCTCTTTCCGCGCACACCAAATCCTCATGCATGCTTTAGGGATGTTTGTCGCACTTTCTTTAATCACTTTACTGCAGCTCTCTTTAATTTCCATGCCTGTTCTACCTCTGATGTCCACCATAGAGCCTGCACAAAATTAAATCTGATATTCCTTTTCCATGCCCTCTGTCGGAGGCATCTAAGAAGGTTTTTGACCGCTCTTACTTGAAAGACCTGCGAGCTTTTGAAGCCTTGACTTCACTGGATTTAGATATCAATACTAAACATGGCAGATGATCACTTCCATGATAGCCCAGGACAGTCCGTTTGGTGTTCCCTTTTCATGTGATGCCACATTGGAAGCATGTCAGTGTGTATAAGGGGAGCATTAGATAGACAGTCGTCCTGTATCCCCAGTTCATTTTCATCGTCATACTGTTTCGTCCAAAAAATAGACTGAAGCACGATTATAGACTCTTCCCGTATTGTTGATGTGGTTGGCTGCTGACTATGTAGACTGTGTTTATTTAGTACTCTCAGGTAGTAAAACCCAATTAGTTGCCAGAAGTGAGACATAATCAGTCACCTTGTGGACACTTGACCAGCATGCGATGCCTCTGAACAATGTTACAAGTGTGTGATAGATTGACATCTGTATCGCTTCGCAACATGTACACACATGCAGTCATTGTAACTGACTCACACAGTGTTGAGAAAGGTGGAGAGAGGCATGCTCCGTGCAGTGTAGTAAGTATCACTTTAAAAGTCCCAGGTTCTTAGCATCCTTTGGATATTTGCTCCAGGTTATGCCGGTGTGTTGGGAAATGAGCAGCCAGATAGACTGGCCGGTTCTGCATCATTTGGTGGTGAACTTATGTATGACAAGCTGGATGTTGTGAGGACCCTTTGGGAAAGAATGAACAGTGCCGAGTCACAGATAGATCATTACAGTCTGAGGAGAATGGCACTGCTAGGAGTTACAAGGGGATATGATACTTAGGGGAAAGGCAAGATGGATAAACAATTAGACAGGTACTGGTACAATTGGAATTTTAACTCTTCGCTTGCTGCTGAAGATAGGGACGGAGCTTGTTGATTCTTTATTCAATATTCAACAATCTTTTATGGCTTCAACATCCGATGTGAAAGACTTTTTTTTTTTCTGTTAGTTTGCCTTTCACCAGAATCTTGTAATCCACATTCGAAATTTTTTTTGTTTGGGGGGGGGGGGGGGGGGGGTGGGGGGTATACCTTGTATGGTACTTGCCATGATACTTACAGTTTATCAGATGAAAGTGGAAGCAATATTAGCAGGTCTTCTTCTACTTTTAAGGTGACTGTCTTAGCCTTTCTATTTTTTACTGTCTGTACAAAATACCAAGAAGGGGGTCTCTGTGGTGAAGATGTCAAGCCGTTTGCTCCACGATCTGAAAGTCATGGATTCACCCCACAGCTGCGTCCCCTTCGGATCATGAGTGCAATTTTTACGGAGGTCCGTGTGGATCGTCGCCGGAGCTACGGAATTAGTGATCAGAAAACAGCGCATCACGTGCCATTTCTAGTGCTCTTCTGTGAAACTGTTCTGTCAGCACGCATTGTAATACCCTCATCATTCCTTTCTTTTATACTTGTGCCAAGATACCCTTTTTCAATGTCAAAGACCATAGCAGACTTTGAAATTCTTGGCTTTTGATTTATAGGTTGAAATATTTCTTTAATGTTGGGTCCATCCTCTGGAGTTCTGAAAATCTGGGTTGATCTCGTACTCGGGTTTCTATGTTAGGGATGCTGATCGATTGAATCAGATCTGTCTGTGCTTTATCTTCTTCTTTTAGCATTCCCTGTGTTTGTTAGCATTCACTTTCAGAAAATGTTCCTCCAAATTATGATTGCAAGCTGATTGCTAGTATTTACATTTGGTATACAACCAATGAGGATTCCGTCACATCACACGGGGAGCACTGCTGCCTTTTTTATGCAGAGTAGCGAGGGATATTTATTTTTACAAGAGCTACCTTATATCTTTCTTTATTGTCTCCAAAATTTCTCACACAATGTGCTCTCCTGTGTAGTCTTTCTCTTGCCCCAATGCTCTGTGTACACCGATTAGTGCAGCACTTGTATCTTGAACTAGCAAATCTCCTGAAGTAGTGCAAAGATAAACTGGTAATGCTAGCCGAGTGTGCTTCTTGAAATGGAACACTTTGTCCTCAAATAAAATTCCCATCTTCCTGAAATTCTGTGAATCTCTCGCAGTTTTCGATCACAAGTTAGGCAATCTCTTAAAACTGAGTTGGCTACTAAGTCTTTTTCGGAGTAACTGCTTGATAAATTTTGGGCAATATTAGGCTCTTTTAGTACATTTTTCACATAACAGTCACTATGTATGTGGCCAAATAACCACATGTGTAACACAGAAGGTTTGTGGCATACCTTGTGACCTTAGATTGTTGTTTTTGGGCCAAATCTCGTAGGTATGTCATGTAATTTGGAATTGTATCACATATTTATGCTACCAAGAGCGTGTTCGCAGTTTCAGCATGTCTTTAAAGTTTGCCATTGTGTACTGGGTGTCGTGGTCTCCTCTGATATGTGCTATTGTTGTGAGAGTTACAAGGACTTCTCTCCTGAGAATATCTAGCGGCTGCAGCAAAAGCCAGATCGGATTGGAGGCAGGTCGCAAAGACCCCCCTGTGTGCATAAAAGAATATTTTTCCCTTCTTCATGTCACCCACTGATGTGCATCTATTTTCCTGTAAGAGTGTTGACATACTAGAAGATACTGAGGCTAAGATTTTATCATGCCATAGCAAATTTTTCAATAAGTGGAAGGAATCTTGGACTTTTGCTGCTTTAAGCCATCTACAGAGTACTTTATATCTCTGCGACATAGTCCCTGCCATATAATCAATACTGGAAAGTAGCTAAGTGTTTGTGTTTTGATTCTGGTTTTGTGTCCTGGCTTGTTCTTCTGTCCTAGGGGTACCTGACTGTCGGATTGGAACATTGGCTCCATGCACTGTCTATCACCCTTGTTTATCCTGTTCATCATTTCATATTTTTGCTGGCGGTTGGTTGGTTAGGGCTAGATGTGTCTCATCACAAATAGTGTCTACAGTTTAGGGTAACATACACTATAGAGACATTAAATAGATACAAAAGGGAAAGGGAGTTTTTGCTGTGATAGGGAATTTGTGGGTCTACAGAAATAAAAAACAAATACAAAACTTAGAATATTCACCTCTAACTTTCATTCAGTAAGGCTGTAAGCAGCAGAAACATAGATAGTGACTAAAATATTTACTAATAAACAATAAGCATTAATTAAGGGGTATCTTTGTAGAAAAGAAGGAACTGAGAGGTATAACAAAGGCATGGATACAGAGCTTTGGGAAAAAGAAATTCGGGTGAATCGAATGGTGAGGAATAGATGAGTGCACTAAATAAATTCACACAATCAGAAAACTGGATGATAATAATATAACTAGAATGTTTTTTTGTGCTGGAACCAACAGTGCCAAAAACATAACGGGAGACCCACACACACAAAAACACCTAAAGATGTAAATTAGAGACTGAGGTGAATAATTTGGGGATGATATGAGGTGAGCTGTATGTGCAACTGCAGAGGGCAAGATGACTTTGCAAGCATATGCTCCACTGGAAGAAAAGGGGTGGACAAAAATAAATCAAAATGTACGTGACATTGAAGTAGCAGGTGCATACATTAAAATTGTGTATGTACTTAAACTTAAAAAGAAAAAACTTATCTACTCACAAATATGACTGAGCTCTGTGAAATGATTAGCTGTTGCATGTCTGTGACAGTCAACACAATATGGTCCCTGGAGTCATTATAGTGCTGAATTACATATAGTCACATTTGTTGTTCAGTATGGATGATACATGCGGAAGATAATAACAGAATATAATTTATATTATACAAGGTCTGGCAATTAAGTAATGAGACTAATTTTATTATGGCTAAGACAAAAAGCCACCCATGATTCACAACATGGAATCCAAAGAGGCAACCTTCGTCTATGATGTGGCAACTGTTCATCATCCCCGCCCGATAAGCAGACAACACAGAAGCCGCCATTCTGTTAACCTACTCAGAGATGCAGTTACGTAATCAGCATGGAAAAAAAACTGAAATTAAATTCATACGTAAATATCGCCGGAACGAAATCCTAATTTTACACACCACTGAGGCCCTGTTATGGTATTTTCTTAGTCTTGATAATTTAGTAGTGTGATCTGGAGGAGAGCCCAACAATTAATTGATGACCATTTATTAATTGTCCACTTGGTCTCACTATTTAATGTTAAAGAAGCAATGTGAATTTTACATTCCCCTTGCTAACCTCATTTTACAAATAGAAAGAAGTGTAATGTTTACAGCACTTACTACAGTGCTTATTTCACACTGTTAAACTTTTAAACACATTATATTATTTATTAACTTATCAACTTATCTCTAAATCACTGAAGCTGTTCTGGCGACTACATAAAAATTTTAACGGTGCACACACGAATAAGAGCATTCCTGACTTCCAGTGCGTCGACCTCACCTGGCGGAGGTCCAACGAAATTAGGGCAAGGCGCTATTAGAACACTCTGCAGCAGAGCAGCCAGACCGATATGAGAGAACTCAAGTTTTGCCAAAGCGATTACCTCAGATAGGTTTGAGTCACAGAAGTTTGCAGACGATGATATAGTGTCATACAGTCAGTGGATGAGATTAAGGCTGTGCTACAATGAAAAATAATAGTGCATCAGGTCCAGATGGTATAAGTACTATAAGATATGATGACATTAGTAGGTGTACTGAAGATGAGTTGAAAGAGCTAGCAGATACGTACAACAACAACATTGCGAATCCTAGTATCCATGAGGAGTGGTTACACAGCTATCTGATACCCATTCCGAAACCTGGCAAGTATCACACAAAGATTCAGGAATATCGGATAATCACTAATCACGGGACCCGGAAGAACACTGTCATATGCTGGCGAGGTGTTAGTGTATTGAGTGTATTGTCAGGGCAGGCAAGGGTAGAGAGAAGGTTGCTGAAGAACTTCAAAAATTGGGGTTGGAAATTTGTTTACTTATGCCCAAAAAACAAAATATTTATACCTTCCACTGTCCACATTCATTAGCTTTACTGCTAACAAATCGTGCATATCTGTCCAGCTTCCATGCCTGAACCGAGTGAACAGACATTGCTTTCAAATGCTAGCAGACGTCTGCTCCAGCCCGGGTGGCCAGATTCTAATTGTGATCTATAACCAAACGCAATGAACGGACAAAGAATTGTAAACTGTAAATTCAGGAAACTTCACAACAAACTACAGTGACACCTGTGTATACGTTCGCTTTGGTATACGTTAAACCTGGTACACATACTGGTTAGATGCGAAAACATTTGCTTGGTATACGATCTTTGATTGGAGTACGAAATAGTATGCGTCAAAATTAGCCATGACACCGTGCGATGTCTTTGTTTACAGCTTTCCAGATAACGCCAAGGACAGCTGTCAATGCATTGGCAGAAAAGTATCACACGAATAGAGCCCAAACGAGCAGTAGTAGCATTGTCTAGAATAACCAGACAGTGTTACATTTCAGACACAAACTGATGATTGTTCTCAGGAAGGTAAAGTTAATGAGTGAGTACATTTGTATTTATTGTGTCTAATTGCTTTTGTAATTATATTTTTTTTAGTATTAGGCGGTAAAAAAAATTATTGTATACAACCCTATCGGTGAATCAGTGATAAATGTTAAATGAAGAATTGACATCACAGCAATCGGGACACCTCCATAAGTGCTCTTTCCCCATCTTCAGCAGCAAGTGAAGAGTTCCGATTCCGATGGCACCAACAACTGATCCATCACACCTTTTCCTAGAGTGCTGAGCATCGGCCAGATCCCATGGTAACTCCTTGCAAGGCCATTCTCCTTAGACCGTAATGTTCTGTTTGTTCTTGTGCCTAGCACTGTTCACTCCCTCCCAAAGAGCCCTCGCAACATCTAGCTTGTCGTACATCGATTCACCACCAAGTGGTGTTATGACCTGGAGAAATTATTTTAAGGACGCTAACCACCCGGGACGTCTGAAGCGATGTTTGCAACTCTGCATGAAGCAAGCCTGTCTCCAATTATCTCAGCATACTATTTGAGTCAGTTACAATTACGATGTATGTACAGCTGATCCCAAAGCCAGCGGCTAGTGACTGTCTTCACCTCTATTCTCAAACTAGACGTTGTGATATCATATGCCCGGCTTTGTTACAATAAGCAACGTCAATTCGCTTTTGCAAGGAACCTGGATGCACTTCGTCTGACTCTAAAAACAGAGCTATCTCTTTCAATTAAAATTTTCAACGGCGCCCTAACCTAAGTAAAAGTATGACTATTCGTATGTATGAAAATATAAAACTCGTTAATCTTCGAATATTTCGTGGCACACAGTTTGGGAATCACTGTCCTGGGCCATATCCACCCGTTATTCCGTACACTTTTTCACTTCCTATTTTTGCGTTGAAATCTCCAAGCACCATTGTTACCGCACACTTTTTCCATTGGTTAACAGCCATGTGTAATTTGTCATAAAATGCGTCAATATCTTCATCTAAACTATCTGCTCTTAGGGCATAAATCTGTACTAAGTTTATGTCAAGCGTCTGCCATCAAGTTTTACTAATAGTACTCTTTCTGATATTGTCTAAAATCCTTTCACAGTTTTTAAGTTCTTTGGATCCAAAACAATACCAACTACCTTACTATATACCTTCTTTTTCTTCTTCTTCTGCGTTCGACATCAGTCATGCTAAACATTGAGTCCCGTCTGGGTTACAAATAGGAATGTGCGTTTAAGGGCGCCACCGGTCCCCCATAGCTTCTCTTTCAATGAGGCTCCCTTGGGCCAGATCCACAGTCTTTGCTGGGAGAGGTAAGGGCAGTACTGTAGTATGTGCCCAGGGGTCTGTCTTCCTGCTCCACAATCACAGGCAGCAGATTCTTTTATGCCTATCCTGTACAGGTGTGCTCGAAGACCACAGTGTCAAGTCCGAAGTCTAGAAATTGTTGTTTGTTCTTTCCTGTTGAGTTTGTTTATGCTGTCACTCTCTGGTCTGTAATCTCCATTCGGCCTTCTCCACTCCCGCTTGAAAGACAGCTTTAGCGCTGTTTTGGTTTCCTTGTAGCTGTGTGGTGGATGAGGTTGTGGAAGATTACTTCCAGCTTTTGCCAACTCATCTGCTCTCTCATTTCCTTGAACACCACAGTGGGCTGGTATCCACTGCAATACCAGTTCTGCTTTCTTGGAGAGTAAGCCAATGTTGGTCCCTAGATCTGCAACTAGTTTGTCTTGTTTTTTGCTTGATAGTGCTTGGAGAACAGACAATGAGTCACTAAGTATAACAATTTTTTGCCCTCTGTGTTCTTGATTGATGAGATGTTAGACTGTAGAAAGGAGGGCAGTTGCCTCAGCTCTGAAGTTAGTGCAGATGTCACCTGCTGGTAGAGAGAGAGAGTTTCTGCCCTACTGCTAGGGGGTTTAATGTATATTCCAAAACCCCCCTTTCTGACTGCATCTGTAGCAGAGCCGTCGGTGAAAACCTGAGTCCAAGTGGTGTCTGGATATTTCTCATCAAGCATAGCAAGAGCCAGGGTTCTTTGTTGTGTCTCCGACTGGGCATCTTTTGAAGTAATCCCTGGTACCTTTAGGACTCCATTTGCCTTCTCTGGCTTGCTTGTCCATGGTTCTGGCCTAAGTTTTTCGCTCAATGCTACATCTCTTTCAAGCAGATCTCGGTGCTGTCTGTACAGTTCTTTAGCAAGGTGGTTTTTGTAAAATCCTCATAATGCGGCTCGAAAAGGGAGTAGATAAATGCCTACCAATAGAACAAGGAGATTTCATAAAAGGCAGAGGAACAGCTGAGCACATGTCCACATTACGCAACATTTTAGAACAATGCAATGAATGGCAAAGCAGTTTGTGTGTATATATGTGTGTGTGTGTATATATATATATATATATACATTTTGTGGATTTTGAGAAAGCTTTTGACAGCGTCCATGGAGACAGTCTCTGGAAAATATTACGACATTATGGAATCACAGAAAGGATAGTCAACATAACTGCTCTCTTCTATAAAGACTTTTCATGCAGTATAAAATATTACAACACATGTTTACCAGCAGACAGGTGTAAGACAGGTCAGACACATGTCCACGTGTTATGTCATCCCTCCTTTTTTAATCTTGTGATTGACTGGATACTCAAGAACACAGTAGACAAGACATCGAGAAACATGGGATACTGCATTTACCATGCTCGATGACCTTGATTTTGCAGATGATATAGCAGCCCTATCATATAAACATGAACATATACAAAAGAAAGGTAACAGACTACACAGCACAGCAAAAATGATGGGACTGAGAATAAATACAAGAAAAACTGAGATCATGACTAATAGTCCAAACCAACAACCAGTGACCATAAACAACTGAACACTTGAAAATGTAGAACAGTTAACATATCTTGGCCGTGTGGTGTCCCTACTGGCAGGGACAGAGAAAGACATACAGTCACGCTTGAACAAAGCTAGAGCTCCTTTTGGAAGGATGCGGCAAATCTGGAAATCCAACAGTCACTGCAGAGAAACGAAACTCCGATTCTACAAGAGCATCATTGTGAGTTCTTCTTTATGGAGCAGAATGCTGGAGAATGCCCAGAAAGGATGCACGCAAGTTGTTCACCTTTCACCACACATGTCCACGTAAAAAAATATAAAACACGTCAAGTCACAAACCATGAATCTTTAGAAATTATGATAACCAAGAGAAAATGAAAATGGCTTGGCCACGTATGAGAATGAATCCTGGTATACCGGTTAAAACAGCTTTCATGTGGATACCAGAGGGAAAGAGAAAGAAGAGACACACAAAAAAACATGAAGACGAACGATGAAAAGAGAACTTATTGCGGCATCTCTGACATGGATAACTGCGATGAAGATTGTACAGGACAGGAAAGCATGGAAAGTCCTCTCTGAAGCCTCGTGTGTCACTAGATATAAAGAGAACTGATTATTGGAATCTCTATGTTGAATGTTCAATTGAGAATCGACATCACAGCACTCGGGACACGCCCTCTTAAAAGGGAATAATTGTTGCGGAGCATGCAGGATGGTGATAAACAGCAACAACTTAAGGAGAAAGAGCTGGATTTGCCCTACAAACAACAGTAATTAAAATTCAACACTGAGCTGGAAATTGCAAGGGTTGAGAAAGATAAGCCTATCTATCGCACCTAAAGAAGCAGAAGGTATGATGAGTGTGGATTCACATTCAAATCTCAGACAGGACCGAAGTGGTGGCGTGTTTACAAGCTAAGGTTGCCTTTTCTAACGTGTAACGACTCGAGTTGTTCTACCCTGAAAAACATAGACTGCAAGACCACATTAACAGGTTAAACTCAGCATGTAGTAAATACAACATGAAGATCAATGCAAACAAAACCGAAACAATGCAAGTTAGTAGACATTCTGCCCCTCTACACATACAGCTGAATGGTTCTGCCCTGAATCAAGTTAGGGGGTTTAAATATCTAGGAAGTATGATCACAGAAGATGGTAGAATTGACAGAGAAATAGAAAACAGATGACAAAAAGTAAGGGCACTTATATACCAGTTGTCACCATTATTAAGACATCCAAGCATAACTATGAGTGCAAAGAGACAGATTATTAATAGCACATTTATTCCAACATTACCCTACCAGTGCCAAACATGGACACTATCTAAAGCCCATTTACTCAAAATTACCACCTGTGAGATGCGTTGCCTGAGAAAAGCAGCCAACCTAACCATACAAGATCGAGTGAATAATGAAACTATCAGGCATATTGTGGGAACGATACCTTGTACTAGATTCATCGAGGAACAGCAGCTCAAGTGGTTTGGCCATCTCGTTAGAATGCAGCAAGATCAAATTCCATCACAAGCACTACATCTCAGAAGATCAACTACAAGAGCAAGAGGACGGCCGCGGAAGACATGGATCGACAACATTAAAGACACTCTACGCCTTTACGGCATGACAATAGTCAGTGGTAGCCAACGTGCACTGGATCGCAAATTATTCCTCCCCACGTCGCTTAACGGCAGAAGTGGTTTATGATGATGATGATAAACGACTTTTAACAAGTTTCTTCAAAGTTTTCAGGAGACCATGCGTGTGGCGGAGATGCATTAGTGCAGTATGTATTTCGTCTCAGGGACTTAACAGGATAGTTGTTGGCCTCTTTCACCAACCTGTCGCTGGAGGACAGAACTTCGTTTCCTATGGTGTGTCAGAAGTTAATAGAATCGCAGAATTTAACTGCTGAGCGGTATCGGAAACGCGTTAAAGATCTTATTCCATCGACGGAGGTGAGCTTTGGCAGTTTTGTGACCAGTGTGAGGACGCTTTTTTCCAGATGGACAACGCTGGTGAAGGTAAATGATAGCTTGATCTAATGATTCAAGACAAGATATTATTTTGTTGCAGCACTGAGTTGTGTGTATGTTTCCTTAGACATTTTCGGCCGCACTGAGCATGCGAGTTAACTATTCAAGGGTTTCAGATGTCGATTCGCATAGAAAATATCCAAGAGTTAAGATATATGATCATAAGGTCCCATAGTGAGGATCGGTCGAGACAACCGGACAGATCCAGGTTTGGGCAAAATCAGACACACATATATTACAGCAGGGCTAGAGGTTGTGGGTATTGTTTTCTGTGGCGTCATAGGTCAGATCTCTGCCCAGACCAAGGCAGGAAAAGTGTCGATGATGAGTACCCAACTCGTAACAGGAGACCAGAAATTAGGGGAAATCTGAAATGTTACATGTGTAAGGGTTCTCATCTTTAAAAAAAAAAATTGTTTAAGATTGTCACCGAGGCATGGCAATACCGTGCAGGTGGTGCGGGTTGGCAACAACAAAAGCAACAGCACAAAGGAAGCAATGCAGGAAAGAGTACGACGTGAGGTCACATACTCCACTTTGTCTGCTCAGCCGAAGGCAGGGTGATTGCCACTGCATTTTGGTTATATTCGTAGGGTGAGGTGCACGGTCTTGAAAGACACCAGAACTTATGTAATCGGTGTTGCAAGACACCTGGTACCCGCATCTGCCTATACGGGGAAATATGCAAAAGAGTCGTACATTTGGGAGAAACCCGGAAAGGTATCCTCTTGGTAATGTGAAGGTTCGTTGTCTCTATTACACAGGGATTTCTGAGGTCTGTGTTGTGAATCGTAGCTCGACGGATATCATTCTGGGTACAGTTCCTAGTATGATGTCTTGCACACCAGAGTAGACTGAATACTGGTACCGTAAGAATGATGCAATTGCAAATGCTGTTACAAGGGCACAACAGCAAAGCAATTCTACAACAGAGGCAGCAGATAAATTGACCGAAGTACTTTAGCCGACGGCAGTGGTGATCAAGAGGGGTGTGAACGATCATGCACCGGCCACGGGTTCAATATCACACGCTACACCATATTTAGTTGAAGGGCTGCATGCAGACCACACGCTGGATAAATGCTTCGATAAACGAGTACGCCTGGTTATAAGATAAATACAAATGATAAATGCGGATTTTTCTTGAAGAACGGATTGTGGTGCGTTATTTCGAGTCGGCGCAGCACACTCACAAACAATTGGTGGTTCCTAAAATATTCAGGGAAGAGGTGCTAAAAACATCGCATTACACACCCTTCGCAGCTCATTTAGGTATAGACAAAACATATAGGCGAATTTTATCCCTGTTGTATTGGACCAGTTGTTTCCTTGACGTTAGGGAATACTGCAAATCGTGTCGCGAATGCCAGATTATGTTGCCTAGGTGGTAAAGGGAGAGTGGTGGGTGGGCTGGTCGGACAGGGTCCTCTGCATAAACTTTTGATAATTTGGGGAGGGGGTAGTTGTATTTTTTCAACTAGAGACTGAACAAGAGGCACCTCCTGCATGAAGCACTGGATAGAGCTAAGGCTCGCTGAAATGAGGAAAGTCTTGGATGGCGCAAGCTGGAGACACAATTTGACATGTGTGCAGGCTTGATAAATTTAGGCGAGGAAGGGAGTGGGTTAAAGTGTCCAATCAGGTTTCAGACTTATATAGGGATCTAATCACATCGGGACCTGAGTGCATGGGCTGGCCAGTTGGTGCTGCAGAATCAGAAGTTCAGCAAATGATTCATGACAATTCTCGACCAGGTGATGTGATTGTTTATACAGATGGCTCTGTGTCGAGGGGCAGGCGAAGTGCATGGGGGTTTAAAGTGAAGGCGAATGAACGTCGCTTGGTGCAACATAGCCTGGCATAGGATATCAGAACGTTTAGTTTGAGAATGGAGTAGAGGCAGTCACTGCTGTTTTCCGCTGGCTTGAGAATCAACTGTACATGCATGCAGTGATTGTAACTGACACATAGAACATGTTAAGAAAAGTGTCGACAGGCATGCTTCGTGCAGGGTAGTTAGTATCCTTTGGATATTTTCTCCAGGTTATGCCGGTGTGTCGGGAAATGAGCAGGCGGACAGAGTGGCCGGTTCTGCACTACTTGGTGGTGAGCTGATGTATGGCAAGTTGGATGTTGTCAGGGCCTTTGGGAGCGCGTAAACGGTGTTGAGGCACAGATAGATGATTACAGTCTGAAGAGAATGGCACTGCAAGGAGTTACAAGGGGATCTGGCCGAAGCTCTACACTCAGGGGAAAGGCGAGACGGTATACAATCAGACAGTTACTGGTACCATCAGATTTCAACTCTTCGCTTGCAGCTGAAGATGGGGACAGAGCGCTTATGGGGTGTCCCGAGTGCTTTGAATGCTGAAGAAGGTACCAACGGTCAGTAGTTGATCGTTAGGTTAGGGCAGTGCGTCAGCAAACTCTTTGGTCAAAAGAGTCAAAAATCAGCAGCTGGAAACTCTCTCTCTCTCTCTACTAGCAGGTGACATCTGCACTAACCTCAGAGTTGAGGCAACTGTCCTCCTTTCTGCAGTCCAACATCTCATCAGTCAAGAACACAGAGGGCAAAAAATTGTTATACTTAGTGACTCATTGTTTGTTATCCAAGCACTATCAAGCAAAAACAAGACAAACTAATTGCAGATCTAAGGACCAACATTGGCTTACTCTCCAAGGAAGCAGAACTGGTCTTGCAGTAGATACCAGCCCACTGTGGTATTCAAGGAAATGAGAGAGCAGATGAGTTGGCAAAGGCTGGGAGTTATCTTCCACAACCTCATCCACCACACAGCTACTAGGAAACCAAAACAGCGCTAAAGCAGTCTTTCAAGCGGGAGTGGAGAAGTCAGAATGGAGAATAGCAACAGAGAAACTGCTAAATACCAATCTTGGCTTCCAGTATGTAGTAATGCTGACAGATGCAAAATCAGCACTTGAAGCACTCCAGTCTAGGAAACTACCAGAATTGCAAACACTGATGACACAACTTAGCCTTCAGCAAAGAGTTGTAATGCAGTGGATATAATCACATTCTGGAGTGCCTGGAAATGAGAAAGCTGATCAACTGGCAGGAAAAGGTGCGACAAAAGTGTTGCCGTATGTGCCAGTCAAATACCAGCAAAAGAAAAGAATCATTAAATCAATCAGGAAACCACCAGCCCCAGCACAAGACGACTATTTTATTTTGGACAGATCAGAACAAGTCATTATCCTCCGCCTCAGAACAGGGCACAACCGATTACGCAACCACATGTACACCAAATTCAAGATAGGCGTATCAGCCATGTGCACACGTGGAAAGGTGCCCCAGACAGCAGAGCTTGTACTCCAGGACTGCACCGAATTTGATACATTAAGGCAAACCTTTTGGCCAGAAAGAATAACAGTGGAACGTAAACTCTGTGGACCACTGAATGAATTAACAACAGTGAAATTTATACAAGAGACAAAATTGCTGATATAGACAACTTATTTCAGGCGAACGAAAGAAGAAGAGAAGAATGGAGATTACAGACCAGAGAGTGACAGCATAAACAAACTCAACAGGAAAGAACAAACAATAATTTTTAGACTTCGGACTGGTCACTGTGGTCTTCGAGCACACCTGTACAGGATAGGCTTAAAAGAATCTGCTGCCTGTGATTGTGGAGCAGAAAGACAGACCCCTGGGCACATACTACAGTACTGCCCTCACCTCTCCCAGCAAAGACTGTGGATCTGGCCCAAGGGAGCCACATTGAAAGAGAAGCTATGAGAGATCGGTGGCGACCTTAAACACACAATCCTATTTGTGACCCAGACGGGACTCAATGTTTAGCATGACTGATGTCGAACGTAGAAAAAGAAGAAGCAGAAGAAGAAGCAGCTGGGCGACGATTAAAAAATCAAAAGCGAAAATTCTTTTCAAGAACCATTTTTTTTTTTCCCGAGGTCAAAACCGATTTGTGGGCCGAGCCGCACAGAGGTCGCTAAAAAAAGCCGCATGCGGCTTGCAAGCCGTGATTTGCCGACCACCGGGCTAGGGCAATCAGGGAACTGAATAGTTTAATATTATGGCGAATTGTAAACATTTGTAAAAACCTGGCAAGTCTGTACAAAGTGCCGTTTACTCTGCAGACTGCAGAGAAAAGACGGAGAACTGAGGAGCGATAGGGAGACCGGACGTGGCGGCAGATTTTAAAAACGTACCAGTTTCTCAACAAAATACAGAGGAAAATCACTGGCGACAATGAGTGAGTCTATGAATATTCGTGTCATGTGAGTCAGTCATCATGACTACTGGCAGTGAGTGTACAATCTCCACAAACAGTGAAGGTTTTTTCTCAGTTCTGTGTAACTTTTTTCTTCTTTTACAAGGTGGTACTGGTAGTCACATTTTATAAATTATATTTTTAATGTTGCAATGAATAATAAATGCCAAATTAAACTTAAACTGCATATGAATATAATAATATATTAATTAGATACTGTATTTTCTTGACAATTTTGTTTAAAATCCAACTATCATAGTTAACTCATTTAAACATGTCAATTCTAAGCCAAGATAATAATTTTTAAGCTAAAATAAATTCTATAAATATTGGAACAGAGAGGAAAATACTTTTTAGAAAATTCGTTCTAACTGTCATAACATGTCTCTGGGCATGATATACTGATATACCTTAGCAACTATCACTATGTTCCTGACAACAAACAACACTATGCAAATGCATGCAACAATTATGTCTCAACAGAATGCAACTTCTGTTGCTGTTGACTCATAAGGCATTCACAAGTGATCTCCATTGCTGCCGGTCTGCTGCTTTTCAGCCCATGGATGACGGTATCCCATGTCAGTTTACATTCCTTTATTTCCCGTTCTGTTGTCCTTCTCCAGGTTTTCTTAGGTTGTCCACATCTGCTTTTCCCATCTGCTGTCCACCGGAGAGCTGTTTTTGCCAGTGTCACAAGGCATTCTGCAAACATGTCCAAACTTGGTATAATATAATAGTATTCCTAAAATGTTGCTCTTGTAATTCTGAGTTTTGTCTTCAGATTAAATCCCTTTGACTTCATATATTGTTTTGCATAGCAAATGCTTGATTTGCTTTGTTTATTCTTGATTTTACATCCTTTTCCGTCTCCATCTGGTGTAACTTTACTTCCAAGGTATATAAATTCTTCAACTTCCTTTATTGCTTCATCATTTAAGATAATTGGATTTTCAGTTTTGTAATTACTTTTCATTTAGTTTTACTACTTTAGTTTTACTGGTTTTTATTTTTATTCCTATCTTAAGTTTTGTTGTTGAAAGTCTTTCAGTCTTTTCCTACTTTGTTCACTTATTTGACGCAGCATGAAGATGTAATCAATATATGATTTCCCCTTTCTGAATCCTGCTTGCTCTTGCCTTATTATCTATCAAGTGCTTAAGTCATTCTTTTAAGAATTATCTGCTTAAAGATTTTACTAGTTACTGATATTAATGTGATACCCTTCCAGTTGTTATAGTTTCTTAAATCTTCTTTCTTTGGTAAATTAATAATAGTACCCTTTTTCCACTTCTGTGGAATTTCTTCTTTGTTCTGATTTCTTGAAAAATCGTACACAATAGTTTTGGCGTTTCAATTTCCTCCACTTTCAGCATTTCTGGGCAGATTCCATCACACCCAAATGCTCTGTTAAGGCTCTAGGCTTATCTGTAGGTCTTCTGTGCCTCAGGCATATCAGCAAGTACAGGTGTGTCTGGATAGTTTAGTAATTCCTGAAAGTAGTCTTTCCATTTGTCTAATTTTTCTTTCTCAGTTATAATCATTTTCCCACTCTTTGTTTTTAAAGGCAAATTTTGGTGCGATGCCACATTTCCTTTCAGTTTCTTAGTTATGTTGTACAATGTTTTGATATCCTGCCTATTTGCTGCTTCCTTTGCTTTTGTTACTAGTTTTTTAATGTACGAAAGTGTATCTGCGTTTGCTCCTACTTTAACCTCATTGTTCTTTAGTGCATATTGTTAAAAAAAAATTTTTTTTTCAGTCTGGCTGATTTTGCATCTAACATTTGTCTTTTAATATCTTTCTGTTGTGCTATTTTCTACCACGTCGATTGGGAGATCCACTCCTCTTTCTTTGACCGCCTATATCCTATTTTCTCCCCTGCTAATTTGACTGCTTCATTAAATTTGTCGATTTCCATTTCTGTTTCTTCTTGTAAAATGTTGAATCTGTTTTTGAGTTCTATCTTGAATTGCTGTTTGATATGTGTGTCCTGCAGTTTTCCTGAATCAGATCACTGCAGTTTTTGTTCTATTTTAGGTTTCCTTAGTTTTAACCTGATTTTTCCAATAAGTAAATTATGGTCACTCCCTATATCCACTGATCAACATACTCTGAGGTCTTGCAGGAAATGCCTCCATTTTCCATTTATAAGAATATGGTCAGTTTGGTTTTCTGTGTGTACATCTGGATATCTCCATGTGACCTTATGAATTGTTTTATGAGGGTAGAGTGTTTCTCCAATTATTAGGTCATTAGATTGAAGTCACATAATTTCTCTCCGTTGTTGGTCATTTTCCCTGTCCCATGTTTTCCCATTGTTCTCTTCCTCTCTGTGTTGTCCTTTCCTACCTTTGCAGACTGTAGTAAAAGCTGTCTTTCGTCTCCTTTTTTGCATCCTCTGTTGGTGCGTAACAGACCAAGACAGATAATTTTGCAAATCTAAAATTGAACCTTGCATACACAAGTCGTTCACTTACAGACTTACCTTGCATACACAAGTCGTTCACTTACAGACTTACCTTGCATACACAAGTCGTTCACTTACAGACTTACCTTGCATACACAAGTCGTTCACTTACAGACTTACCTTGCATACACAAGTCATTCACTTACAGACTTACCTTGCATACACAAGTCATTCACTTACAGACTTACCTTGCATACACAAGTCATTCACTTACAGACTTACCTTGCATACACAAGTCGTTCACTTACAGACTTACCTTGCATACACAAGTCGTTCACTTACAGACTTACCTTGCATACACAAGTCGTTCACTTACAGACTTACCTTGCATACACAAGTCGTTCACTTACAGGCTTACCTTGCATACACAAGTCGTTCACTTACAGGCTTCCATTCTATAAGAGTGTTGTTGAGCCCCTTTTTAATTATTAATGCGACTTCTTAAGTATGTTGTTTATCAGCTCTACCTGACCAGATTATGTTGTTTATCAGCTCTACCTGACCAGATTATGCTGTCGTCTGAATTGAGGTTTCTATTTCCTGTCCCTGTCCAATGTGTTTCTGTAATTCCTAAAATAAGTACAGTGTGTGTGCATCTCATGAAGAACTTGTTCTACTTTTCCAGTCTGAAACAGTGTTTTCAGATTTTAACATCCAACGCTTAGGGTGTTTTGGGGAGAAAGAGGATTCACTGTCAGGCTGTTTAATCCCTTTCGGCTTTGATCCCCAGCTGTCATTTCACCAAATATCTGGCAAGCTTCACTTCTTTCCACTGGTTCAGTGATTTCACTTGTTCCTTTATTTCTGTAATGAAGTATTTTTTTTTTTGGTAATGGGTTGTCAACTTTTTGCCCAACCTGGGGGACCAGGGTGCTAGTTTGGTCTGCCTCTACTTTTCAAGATCTGTTCGGCATGGTTAAACCTGCCAGGGTAACAAGCTCTGAGGGTCATTAGGGTACTCAAGCCATCCCGCCTCGACGGGGCACCAGCACCATGGGATGGAGAATGCAAGTAATGTGGATGAATGTGTTAAACCCACCAAGCATAATCGTTTGTGACCATGAGCTGTTGGACATGTCCATGAGTTTGAACACCTAGGCTGTCGAATCGCAGACAATCATTCTATAGATTAGAAAACTAGATAGATAAATAGGAAGGCTTCTGCAGTGCTTACCAAACTCTTAACAAGAGTGGTCAAACAAAATTAAAAGTTTATGAACCTTACGTAATCTGCTTAAGCAGAGAGGCCATCGTTAGTTGGGACATGTCTCTTGCATGGAGGACGGTCGCATTCCAAAGTATCTCCTGTATGGTGAACTGTTGACAGGGATAAGACCTACAGGAAGGCCAAAGTTGCGCTATAAGGACATATTTAAAAATTCACTGTTTTAATGTTCCTACTGATCAAAAACATCTGTGGCTTAGGCGTTGCAAACGTAATTGTTAATGCCCAAGTACCGGGTTCGATCCCAGCTGCAGACGATTCGTCTTGCTTTGTTTCGACAGTGGTACCGAGAGCCGACTGTTCAGTAAGCAATGACATACAACTGAATGAAAAATATGCCTAGTAAAAAAAATGCTAGGGATGGTTCTGCAACATCCTGTGATGGATACACAACTAACTGATCTAAAACTGTATTCTTCAACCATTTGGGTCACGACCCACCAGTGGGCTGCGAAATATTCCAGGGGGGCTTTGAAAATTTCTGCCTAATCATGTACGGAGAAGTTTTTTTTTCCAGGATTGCATTTTGTAGGATTAACAAGGATTCTCACGGATGATAATCAAATAGTCAAAATCTAAAATCCCAGAAACCCCAATAATCCACATAAAACATTATATTGGTGCACCTGAAGGCTACGTAACCTGTAGCTCAGCCTGGGCTGGGAATCAGATTTCTCAAACAGCGGCTATATGATTCTGGCACTGCAACGCGAGTATGCAATGTATGCGACAGTTTGGTGTGGAACAGGATATCGGTAGTGTTTCATCTTCCCCTGTCCACATGTTGTGAAAATTCTTGTTTTGCTTTTTTTTATAGCACTTTTCCATATTGTTCTCTAGTATGGTGTTGCTATAATATTTATGAAAACAAGTTATTTATTTGTTAAAATTTCACAATGGCGACCCCAAAAAAAGTCAGCCAGTGAAACATTTTAACCTTCTTTAGTTGGCACAGACAATATAATATTCAGGAGAACAGTGATAATGATACATTAAATATGCCAAGTACTAATGCTTTAAGTTTGGATGAAGCAAAAACAAATTAATATTGATATTTTGAAATGTGCAATTCAATCCCAAAAAAAGAAAGAGTAAACCTTGTTGGGAATATCAAATTGTCCTTAATAATATTGTTTTCTATGTTGTGATGTATGGACTTTACAGCTAAATTTTAAATATTCAGAGATTTAAACCTTTTTTTTTTTTCTCTCACAGACTCTTTGACTGTACTCAGTGATCTCCGTGCTGCCAAAGTCAAAAGACAACAGGAAAGATTACAATGTACAGAGGTAGGTGAAAAATAAATAATGCAGAGGTGGAGCTATTTTTTTTTTTTTTTTGGGGTGGGCGAGTTGAATGATCTTTGGCTGGTTTTCAAAGTGGGATTAGGTAACTGTACCCAATCCTGGGTACTGAAGCTGTTCTGATGCTCTTGTTGAAGTCAAAAAGCCATCTTTCTCAAGTCTTTAGTTTGAGCACAACACTGAATGATGGTCATTTTAATGTCTTGTGTTAAACCTATCTCTGCTTGAAATAGGCTGCTAGTCTAGTAGACATTTTGCATATCTGGGTGCCATGATACCTACTTCTATATGTTTTCCATCTTCTTTCCCTGGGTATATAAAGGTAGGCCCACTAACACCTCTTTTAACTGCTGTGGGCCACCTAAATTCACTTAACCCTAAAATATCTAGTTGATATCTCTTCCTTTCTTCTTATACTGGCATTATGTTTTCACAGTTGACGTCATATGTGCATTGGGCTTTCTCATGTGTGTTCAGTCCTCAGATGCATCATGTTCCGTCATCCTAGTCCGTAGCGTGTTGATGATATCAGTTCTGTCCATGCTTCTTTCAATACATGCATTGGTACATTGGTTGGCTCGCTCATTACCTTTCACTCCTGCATGATTAGATGTATAGATCCAGGTGTTGGATGTTAACTGTGACTTATGAAGGCTTTCTGTTTATATTCAGAGTAAAGGCTGCCTGTTGTGATTTTCTGAAAGCATGTTTGTGAAGTCTGATACAATAACTACATGTGTGGTCGCTTTTTTTACTTGCCCTGTGAGTGCTCTGATGACATCGGTAATCTTCATGTTCATGCTTTACCTAGTCGCTTGGTATGCGTCACTGTTCTCTTTCTCCTTATCCTTTATGCTGTGTATGCTTGTGCTGACCTTGATCAGTGGCTTCACTGACCCAACTGTGTGGATGATTTTTTTGGGAATGTTGCAGTCATTGTTTGTGGTTTCTTTACATATGTTATCAGTGTAGTTTATGATTTGAAGGGCAGGCAAAACACAGACCTGCCGTACTCTTGATTTTATGGTGAATATTTCTTAGTGCGTACACCTTCCCTGTTGCAACATACGGATGTGAGTCCTGGACTATCTCCCAGTCTTTAAGAAAGAGAATAGGGGCTTTTGAGCTCAAATGCTATAGAAAGATTCTCAGAATATCTTGGACAAGGAAGAGGAGAAATACTGACATTAAAAGATCTGAACATCAAGGAAAATTGGCTAATAAACAGCATCCTGTCTCAGAAGCTGAAATTTTGGTCATATCAATTGCCACAATGGATTGGAAAAAATTATAGCAGAAAGAAGGGGCAGGGGCCGACCGACACGAAGATGGGCACAGGATATAAGTGACTTCTTGAGTATAAAAGTACATGAGGCGGGAGAGCTGGCGAAAGACAAGAGTTTCTTTCAGGCAAACTGATGAGAGCGACGTTCTGCAAAGAACCTGCTACATGTTAATGATGATAAGTTCTTAGTGTCCTTTGTTGTTGCAATTCATTAGCTGTTTTAATATAAGCTTTCAAGTATATTAGAGGATTTTTAGCATTGAAGAAACAAACTAATCTTGGAAACTGAAATATTTTGTCATAAGAAATGTCATAAACCATTGTTACATTGATACTGTGGAGATGTAATATAAATGCAGACCTGCAAATACTTGTAATCACAAACTGGAAAGAAAAGTCCAGTCAGAGAGATGAATGGAGCCGGGTAATGTCTGCAGTGATGAATTTCAAGGGCTGGGTATGCTGAAGAAGAAGACATGAAATGTCACAAAGGATTCAAAGATACTATAATTAAGGAAAGGCATATTTCCTGAAAGAAGAGGCAGCACAGGGCATTAAAGATAAATTCGGTAAAACGGTTATAAGTAGGGATGAAGAAGGATCTTTCCTTCTGGTTGTCAAGAAAGTGACTTTCTTAATGACGCTGTTACTTTATGATGGTTATAAGTGTTTTAACATAGATGTAATATTGCAACAAAAGAATAAATCTTGGGCAAGTTATTTTTAATTGCATATTATATTTTTGTTTTCATTTATTATGTAGGTGAAAAAGCAATTTGAAGTAATTAAGAATCTGCAAAAAAAGAAATCATTACTTAATGCAAGGCTGCAGGCCTTGAGTCAAGGAATTTCAGTTGAGGAATTTGATTATCCAGAGGAAGATCTGAGGTTCAAAAGAAGTACTCTGTGTACTCTGAAAGAGACGTTGCATGCCTACAGACTCATAGGTATGGTCAGCATATATTTAAGATTTCTAATGTTCTCTTATGATTATTTTATTTACGTTGTCAGAGCATTTCTATTTTAAGCCCTATATGTTGTTCACATGTATGCCCAGTCTTACTAAAAGATCTTAAATTTTTAGAAAAGTTTATGCTCAGTGATCTAAAATATTTACCCATGCTTCAAATTAAATACAGTCATGCCTTGGTATACATTCAATTTGGTACATGTTTAACTAGGTATACAACCAACTTGGTATACATCCTGTGTTTGATGCCAAAACTTGTGCTTGGTAGATGACTTTGGAATATGACCTGCATGCTAGAGCTTGTGTGAATTAAAATTAGTCACAACAAAGTGAGCTTTGTTTACCTGTCTCCAGACAAAGCCATGTATAAATGACAGGACCTTGCAGAGAAGTATCACCCCAGCAAAGCCCAAACAAGCCATAATAGCATTATCTGGAATGACCAAACAATGTCACATTTCTGAAAGATCCTGAGTAGAAGGCAGGAGCAAAGTTCTTTAAACAGGCATTTTAGTAAAATTCAAACCTGAAGAGCTTTAGCCAGGTCCAGTAAGCAGAAAGAGACAGGTTAAAAAGAGAGAGAGAGAGAGAAACACCAGAATGTCAGATTCATGAAGTTTTATTGAAAGGAACTCGCCTTCCAAACGAAATCTCCTTCTGTACCTTCTAAATACGGTCCTAGTAAGCGCTGAGCTCTTTTCAGGGAGGTAATGTGAGGATAAATGTCCATTTATTTAATCTAATTGCTTTAGTATTAGGGAGTATATAAATTAATTTCTACAACTTCATCAATGTATAGTGTGCCAATGTCTAGAATTTGTTTCATGGGAACAGAATAATTATTCACTTTTATTTCTTATAATAATTTTTTTTTAAAAACCTACTGTATACATGGTTAGTTGTGTACCCTACCTATACAGGGCGTTGCAGAACCAACCGCAACAGCCCCTGGCTGTTATGTGGTTTTTCTAGGCAAATTACGTCCAGTAGTTTGCCATTGCTTTCTGGCCGTCGGCTTTCTTGATACCACTGTCGGAACCAATGCAAGGCGCATGGCCCGCAGCTGGGATCGAACCCGGCATTACAACGCGTTCGCATCGGCTTAGCCACAGAGCCGACACTGTATATATACAGTCTTAATATATGTCCAAGGATTTGTATTTATGTTTTTATTCAGCTGTGGTCCTCATTTGTAACAATTATTTCTAGTGTACTGTATTTAGAAAAGCAGGTTTTAAACTTTGAGTTTGTTTTGTCTTGGAACAGATTAATTAAGTTTCCATTTTTATATGAAAAAAAATTTGCCTTAGAACTTGAACAATTGTGAATTTGTGCGCAGTCTCAAAACAGATTATGTTCAAATTTGCAGGTACCACTGTATGTCCATAATTCCTCTTAACTGTATTACTGCTATGACCAGTGCTGTTTTTAAGATGTTAAATGCTTCAATCATACTGGGTCTGTCTCCCATGATTACATGATGTCTTTTGATTCATATTTGCCATTGTGTGATGTTTGTGCTTATTTGTGAGTTGATGTAAAATGGGGTGGAGGTGGGTGAGTTGTTCAAGTCAAGTTTGTATAGTATACCATCAAAAAGTATATCCGTCTATGTGAGTTTTTGTAGTGTGTACTATTGAACAGTATACTGTACTGTATACTGCCATTGATATAAATGATATGAAGTATCCATCAGATTCTTTATCTTTACGTACGTGTGTGTGTGTGCATGGTAAAGGACCCCCTTTCACACCATGAGGTGTTTTGAGTATATGGTGCTGGCTTTCAAAGAATGAAATGGTTTGGACATCTAACCAGGATGAAAAATGATCAAATAACATCACAAATTTTCAACCAAAGAAGCTCAGGATATAAGGCAAGAGGAAGACCAAGGAAACGGTGGATTGACGGGGTCTCCGAAACCTGCCAAAAGCATGGCCTCAGAACATCAGATGCTGCCCGCCTTGCTTATGACAGGAACTTGCATCTCCCCACAACGCTTAGCGGCATACGTGGAAGGAAAAAGTAAGTAAGTAAGTAAGGTGCTGGCTGCAGTTTGTTTTTGACAGATTCGTATTAGTTGATGTAAATATCACCTTTGTGTCCCCAAAATAACTACCAGTTTCAGCCTCGGAACTAAGTCTGTAAAACAAATCTACACCACAAGAGGAACTGAACGTGTGATTAGTAAGCTAGTATGCAGACATGCTAGCTGATTAACTATCAAAAAATAAATGTATAGAAAGAATAGTTATGCTTGCAGATTCATTGTAACTAAGCTGACACAAATGGAAATGCTAATTTTACTTGTATGTTTGTTGTTGTTTGAGTGTAAAATCTACATTTTTGTTGGCAGGACCTTGTGGCTTGACTGTTGCAGAAGTTGATGCTGATCGCTTGGTAGTCACTTTCACATCAGTGTGGAAAAACACTATGGAGTCATATATTCTTAAAATTGTGGCAGTGGACGGACAGGTCAAGGTATGTGCAGTAGCTTAAGCTTTTGAACTCTAGCCACCATTTGAGCAAACAAAACCACAAAATGTACACAAACAAACTTGGTTAATATGTGTTTATTTAACTTGAAATCAACTCGTCTTGTCAAGGGTTTGTAGCTAGCTTCACCCTTTTCAAAGCTTTTTCTTGGTATTATTTTTGTTTTGACTGTTTCAAGATTTTACCTGGCATAACTGGTGCTTGATTCGTGCACGCAACAGGCAAAATATATGCACACAGATGTAGTGTTTTTACATCTTTTCTAGACTTGATGGCAGAAGGGAGCCAGTGAAAGGAATGATTGTCATTAAAAAAGTTAGTTGTGTATCCTTTGCAGGACGTTGCAGAATCAACCCCAACATTTTTTAGCTGTTTTGGTTTTTCTAGGCAAATTTTTACGTTCTGTAGTTTGCCATTACTTACTAAAGGGTCAGTTCGTGGTACCACTGTCAAAATCAACGCAAGACTAACCATCCACAGCTGGGGTCAAACCCAGCATTACAATGCACGTTCACAGCACCTGAGCAACAGACACTGGTGATTGTCATTAACATTAGTCTTCTTCTTCTTCTTCGCGTTCACCAGCTTTACACTCTGGCGGAGCAACTACTGAACTGCAGTCTGAACCTGAGTGATGTGTCAGTTTTACATCTCATTCTCTTGAAAAGACTGTCGGTTCCTGAGATGTCCGATGGAAGCTAGTTAGTCGACTCTTACGACAGCTTTTGGGGAAACTTGTTTTCCCCACAATGGGGCCCCAGAACCCACACGGGGAATTAACATTAGTAAAACTGAATGTATGATAGTTTCCAAGTAAACTAGCATTGTTGTATATGGTACCATATCTAGCTGGAGAATAGATTGGAGGCAATCACTGCAAAACTTATGCGGACTGGCTACCCAGCTGTGCACATACTATAACTGTAATGGATCCAAAGCATTCTGAGAAAGGTGAAGACAGACATGCATGCAGAGTGGCATGAGTCCCTTTGGACATTACAGATGGTAAGCATACTCTGGATTATTTCTTCAGGCGTGCTGGTGGTCTGGGGCAAAATGAACAAAAAGATGGGCTGGTTCTCCACTGGATGGTGAATTGTTGTTTGACAAGGCAGATGTACAGACTCTTTGGGAGCACACAAACACATTAGAGCAAATTGATCATCATGGTTTGGTAAAGGGAATGATGTCACCAGAAGATCTGGCAGACATTCAGCACTCAGAGGAAAGGCAAGATGAACAAGCAAAATGCAACTGGACCACTGGCTGCTGAAGATGGGGACAGTGCATTTGTGGGAAAACATTGAGTGCTGTGATTTCAGTTTCTAGCTCAGCTCAGTTCCATTTGGAGTTTAAGCTCTTACCAAGAACTACATTTCGTGACCAAGAGATGTGAGAAGCAGAATCTTATATTTCCCTTGACACCCTTAATAGTAAAAGAGGATGTGAGGAAGAAGATGTGATTATCTAAACACATGGCTTTGTGTTGAGAAGCAGAAAAATGTGCTTGAGGGTTCTTTGCAAAAGTGAATGGACATTGCTTAGGGCAACAAAACCTGGTATATACTACATCTAGTTTGAAAATGGAGGTGGAGGCAGTCACTGATAGCCAGCTGCACACAATTATCATTATTTGTAGCAAGTTGAGAAAGGTGAAGACAGGTATGCTGCATTCAGAGTGGCAAGCAACTTGTCAGAGATCCTTTTATTTAGTGTCTATGTCGAGCTATGTGGGGGTCAAGACTATTCAAGGGTTAGCAAACAGTGGAGAAGCACAAATAACTTACCATGGTCTGAACAGACTGACACAGCAGGTAGTGACCTGGGGATCTGGTCAACATTCATAGACTGCTTGTGGCTGTGTCATCACTGTGCACATGTTGATTAAGCAAACTGCTGAACATGTTCTGTTGGGTTGTCCTGTGTATGGCAAGCTATAAAGGTTATACTTGAAAAAAAAAAACTACTTTCATCATGAATACTTTATTCATTGTGCAGTCATCCAAGACAGCAATTGCAAGAAGAATACCAAGTATGTAATAGGAAGATATGGAGCACAGAATCACCTATTCTCTCTTTAAACACACACACACACACACACAAATAACAACTGAAGGTTTTTAGCGATTGAGTCAGTCAGGGTTAAATCTTACATTTACTTAACACTCTCATCCCATAATTCCTTAAGCTTATTGGTTTTTCATGGCATGTTGCCTTTGGCCAGTGGTCACTATGCCTTTGTAAAAGCTTCAATGCTGGTTGCAACTACATAGTGTGTAGATTTGGTGGTTACATTTATGTTTACCAAGTACGTAAAAATTGAAAATAATAATTGAGGTGGAAAAATATTGTTTTTTCATTGCTACCCCATAATAGTATAACAGCTTTATTAAAACAGAATTGTTTAAAGATTTTTATAGGTTGAAAGATTTAAAGTTGCAAATACACAGACAAGACATGCACCAAAGTTACATTTTTTAAAATGTTTATATCATGTTGTCTGAATTAAATTGTCTTAAATACTGTCCAAGGTTTCAGGTACCAACATTCCTTACTTCATTGATGTTCAGTCCATGCTGGACAAGTCCAAGAGTCCACAGTGGCTTCAGCTGATGGATGACATTGGTTACATGTTGAATGCATATATTCATAGAAAGGGAGAGCTAGCTCTTGTCATGGTGAGAATGTTCTGTCAATATTGTATCAGTGCTACATCTCCAGGTTATAGTTTTCATGGATTATCTTATGTATGATTTTTATTATTATTAAGTTTTTTGACGATGGTGGACAGTGTAGAATCTGGGCCTTAGCATCGCATCTACATATATGTTTATATACAGGTTTAAAAAAATATTTTCACACTGGAGGTCGGGTGGTAGCTTCGCTCCTGTGGTGCACTTAATAGTAAACTTCTAGAATATCTTCTCTCTTGTACAAATGTGCCCATGAAAATGCCTTGTGATTATTCATGAGAGTAGCTCTTTGTGTCCCTGTTCTCATAGAGTTTGTGGTGGGGTCACCTGAGTGTTCTGCACAGTATGACCTACCATTGCACTTACTCTTGGATCTTGTTCAAAATGTAACTTTCTGCAAGCACACACTCAGACCTGAGGTAAATGGAGAACTAGTGTTGACGGGCAATAGTAAAAGTTTAGACTAAGTCACATAGAAAGCACAGCTACTGAACAGAAAAATAAGGCCTACAAGATGAATGCCTTTAACTAGTAATGGATTCATCTCTGGAGACACCATCTGAATCTTAAGCATGTGGGCCTGTCCAGAGCTATATGAATCAGTTACCAAACCTACACACCAGAAATCATAGAGAAAGGCAGTCCGTTGTTCCTGGAATATGCCTGCAATACAAACTGGTCTTCCAGTTTGAGTTTGAAAGATAACCCATGTAAACCCTGATGTTTTTTGGTTACTATCCAACTCAGGATGAATCATTTGTGCATTGGTATATCCACTATTTTGTGGCTGAATATAGCTAAACAGCAGTGGAACTTGTCAAGGTGTTACTTAAACATCAAATACCGGCAATTTAGAAAGAAACTGTTTTCCCACAAATAAAAAGTGTATACTGCCAGTTTATCGTGACTTTGGGTCAAAAACAATGTCTAAATCACCAGCATGGCTGACTGAATAGTGCATATTCTTTAAAAAAAAAAAAAAATAATAATTAACTTGTATCTAAGCTCTGTTAGCTCTCAATGATGGTTATGACCTAACCCCACAGACCATGAAAAGTTCTAGCACCATCTCATCTGTAGACCATGTGCAGAAAGAGAGATTCAGACTTGTTTGTTGAGGAAGCATGACAATACCTGTAGCAGTGTGCAAAATAGCTACTATAATAGAACCACTGGGTTTCTGGGGCCCCAGTTTGGAGAAGGTGAGAATAGACCCCCCCCCCCCTCCAACAAGCATGTCAAAAAAAAAGGCGACTAATTAGGATTGGCTCCTTCAAAGTCAATGTGCATCTGCCTAAGAGACAAGGAACCAGTAGTTTGCATACAAATAAGGATAGATGTGCATGCAAAACTTAAGAGCTGGAACAGGACCAAATTACAGAATTGGATGAACAGCCAGAACATTCCACTGAAGTTTACAGCTGATAAACACTAAGAAGAAGCACCTCTAGACATCGGGAAAGGAGGAATACCTTCCACACAGAGAATTTATTTATATCTGAAGTAATCTGTTGAATTTGGCTAAAGAAGAAATTGACAAATGCTACTTTACGCGAGAGGCCATATATATCTATAACTTTTTTTTTTAAATATCAGAAGGGTCTACAAAGGCTCAATCCCTACAATACTAAAGACAGTAAGCAACTACTCAGCATTGGTATGCCATGAAACTGAAAGTTTCATGATGCAGAGAATGTTGCAGTAAGATATTTAATTAAGTGCTATACAAGAAGTTTGACCTCATGGGGCAAAGTCATGTTGTGGAGTTACTTTCAGTAATGCACACTGAAACACAGTCCATTATGGCAGCATCCCACTCAATCATCAACAAAACCAGTGGGTTCCTCATTACAATGTCTCTGTGACCAGTGCTGTTGAAAGCAGAATCTCTAAAACAGCAACATCTGATCAGGAAAGCAAAGGTAGGAACTGTAGATGCATGAGTATGGACAAAGAAAGAATTATGTTCCCTCTTCTTTATCTGTAACAAACTCATACAGAGTTTGTGACTGCTAACCCACTTCCAAAACCAGGCAAAGATCATTCCAGACAGCGGTTTCAGGATTTTCACCCTACAAAATACTTTTGGCGAGGTGCTAGAGAAGATTATTGCTGTTAAACTACAAATGATTTTGGAAAGGAAAGAGCTGCTGCCAAGATTCAAACTTGAGGCACCAGGTGTTGGAAGAATATTGACATTTGCTGATGATGTTCTTGCATAGAGGCATGGCAGTGATAGACAATGGATAGCACAAGAGCTGCAGGCAACTGTAGACAAAGTGACTGAGTGGTGTGCAGAAATGGGTGCTGTCATCAACTCAGAAAAGGCTGCTGTTTTGTTTTGCTCTCTGGACCAGTGTTTCCCAAACGTTTCTTAGTCGCAGCGCTATTTTTTAATTAAAAAATGTCCATGGCACACTAACCTAAGAAAAGTATAACGTGTAAGAGATTTTTAAAAAAAAAAAACTTGTGTATTTTCAAATATTTCACGGCGCCCCTATGAAGAGGTCGCGGCTCCCCGGCACACAGTTTGGGAATCACTGCTCTAGGCAATAGAATTGTAAGAGCTAATGTTCCAAGCCTCACAATAAATATCAGTAACGTCAAAAGAGAAAGAAAAACTGAGGTACCTGGGTATCACTCTGGATAAAAGTCTGTCCTATAGAGATCACGTGGAGGTAGTTGCAGTGAAATGTCAAATAGCACTAAATGCTCTGATGATTATGGCAGCAATAGATATGGAATAAAGAATGCTGTTCAGTGTTCCACTGTGTGATCCTGCCAGTGATAGATTATGGACTTGGTATGCTTACCATATCTTTTTCTTCCTCATTTTCACTGTCTGTAAACTGGGAGGAAATGTCTGGTTATTGGTCCGATTCTGGACTCTAATCCTGTTCCAGAAACTGAGCGTTGCGAAGCACATCTGTTTTAAAGGTCTCGCTTATTTGCATGAAGAAGGAAGCTCCCAGTTAGTCGACTCTTACGAAATGCTTTTAGGCAGGCATTGGGTCTGTTCTTAGTGCCCCGGAATATCAAAGAGTCAGCTGATAAAACTTGAACGCGTGAAGAATGAAGCCATGCGGATGATTCTGGGATGTACAGGTTTCAGACTCATGTAGGGTTCTAATCACTTTAGGTCACGAGTGCAATGGCTTGCTAGCTGGTGCTGCAGAATCAGAAGTTCAACAAATGAGTCATGACAGTCTTTCTCTCTCTCCTCTCCCCCCCCCCCCCCCCCCCCCCCCCCCCCCCCCCCCCCCCCCCCCCCCCCCCCCCCCCCCCCCCCGTGATGTAATTATCTATACATATGGTTCTGTGTTGAGGGGCAGACGTAGTGCATGGGGGTTCATAGCAAAGGCGAATGGACGTCACTTAGTGTAGCAAAGCCTTGTATATCACAATGTCTAGTTTGCTAATGGAGGTGAAGGTAGTCTCTGCTGCCTTTCACTGGCTTGAGAATCAGCTGCTGTAGACACATGTCGTGATTGTAACTGACTCACAGAACATGTTGAGAAAGGTAAAGACAGGCATGCTCAGTACAGAGTGGCAAGCATCACTTCAGAGGTCCTGGGTAGTAAGCATCCTGTGGATATTTTCTCAAGGTGATGCCGGTGTGTTGAGAAATGAGCTCTGCACCACTTGGTGGCAAGTTGATGTATGACAAGCTAGATATTGTGCAGGCTCCTTAGGGACGAGTGAACAGTGCGGAGGTGCAGACAGATCATTACGGTCTGAGGAGAATGGCGCTGCGAGGAGTTACCAGGGGATCTGGCCAATGCTCAACACTCAGGGAAAGGACGAGACGGATATACATTTAGACGATTACTGGTGCCATTAGAATTTTAACTTTTCGCTTGCTGCTCGAGATGGGGACGGAGCACTTATAGGAATGACCCGAGTGCTGTGATTTTGATTCTTAATTTAACATAAACAGCAAAGGAGAAGATGCACTCTTGACTTCTAAGGAAACACCCCTTTTACGGCATGCTTCTTCGGAAGGCAGTGCGTCTTCTTTTACCCCAAAATGGGGCTCCAGAACCCACATGGGTATTGGGGTTTGAAAACAAAAATAGTCACACATAAAACCTCACGTCTGAAACTTTTACTTCTTTTTAGTTGAGATTTATCTTTCCAGTCAATGTGTTTCCAGTATATCCTTAAACTGTTCCAGGAATCCTACAAAGAATTTATCAAGCTTGCCAGCCCAAATGAGTCACTGACATCCATAGAACTCACAGTCTCTCAAACAGATAGGCAGACGGGACTTAACAAAGACATTTGTGTATATTTGGTATATGCTGGCATAGACTGTACACTTCCTGAACGCGTCACCATAACCACAGGTAACAAATACTGTGTTCTGTTATTTTGTCTTTCACCTTTCTTTATCTTCTCCAACTTGTATACTAGGGCGCATGTGCAACATAATAGTACATCTTATGGTCATAGACTCTGACTACCATCAAGTATTTTCAACCTTATCATAAAGTGCCTTGCTAACTGGTTTCAGCTGCCAAACTATATCTTTTTGTGTGCTCCTTTTCAGTGACAAAAGGCTATCAAGAACCTTCTGTCACTGCCTTTGTTTATTATTCCAGGTTTTGTAATCACAGAATGGTCATACAGCTGTAGCTGCCGCTTTGTGATGTTTATGTTAACCTCTTTCAAAATTCATTTTGTATGGAAAAACTGATCTTATTTAACATGCTGTGAGTTTTGTTTCCAACTTCTATAATTGCATGATAAGTATTGCTGGCCTGCTAGGCCCGACCAGTGTTCTTGGGTTCAAGACCCCACCTGAAGCAGATGTTTATAGCTTGTCTTACACAGCCTAATGTGGTGTAGGAAATTTATTGGAGTGTAAAGGCAGAAAATTTGTTTCACCCATATCTCTATTGGTTTTTCAAAATATGGACATAGCACCATATGCCTAGTTACATGAAAACGGTCCTTTACTTTTAACGATAGCTCATCTCCATATACCTTAACTCTTTGAGTCCCAAGGAACGCATCATACGTTCATAAGTTCCAACTTAGAGGCCTAATGAACGCAAGATGCGCCAATTTTACGTCTCTCTTGACCACCCCTTGGGCCTCTGATGCTAAACCCCCTGGGACTCAAAGAGTTAATGCTTTTTTCTGCTTACCTTGAATTAGTATTAGGGAAGCATTTACTTGTGGATCACATAACCTTATTTATGCCATTGTCTGGGGAAAACATACAAAAAAGGAACAATATTCAGAAACCGATGGCTAGCCAGCAGATCGTTCCCATGAACATCTTAGTGATATTCACTAAACTTAAATCGTTCTGCCTTCATTTTGATCATCAAGGTGAAATTGATATCTCATTTACTGCTATTAAGTCTTGCTCTGGTGATCAAACCAGCCACTATCCCTTTTAAATTGTTTTATTTATAATTTTGGTGTTCTCACTCAGTATTCAGCAGTGTATATTATTTAATTAATTTGTGTTTTTTTTCTCTCCTGAAAACGCAAAAGACCTACAACAACTATTAGATATTGTGGTACCAGAGAGTGCAAAAAAGACTTTCCTCGAATGTCAAGAAAACAGAAAAAATTGTTATATCAAAGAAAAAGATAACTCCAAAATGTGATATAGCAATAGAAGGGAAAGTGCTCAACCAAGTCAATATTTTCAAGTAAATGGGAACATTCAGATGGACAATGTATGACAAATATTAAGAGTAGAATTGCGAGGCAAAGGCAGCATTTCAGAAGATGGAAAGTATCTTATGTAATAAATCACTGGCATTAAACATCAGAAAACGAGTGCTGAAATCTTATATCGAGCCGCTTCTGTTGTATAGCAGTGAATTGGGAATGTAAGCAAACAAATTAAGAAGAGCTTGGAGGCAGCTGAGATGTGGTTGTTTTTGTTGCAAATACCTTGGACTGCTAGAATAACTAACACGATTGCCTGGAAATGGCTAATGAAAGTAGAACATTATACATGTATACAACAGTGAGAAAGTGACAAAGTTCTGTCATCATGTGATAACAGGAGCACTGGAAAATGTTGTGACAACTGGAAAGATCACCAGCAAAAGAGGCAAGAGGCAGAACCAAGAGAAACAATGGTGGATGGCTTGAGACAATGGCATGGAGGAGTATTATCAGTGGAATTGATCCAGAACACCAAAGATCGAGATCTGTGTTTCATAAAGGGTTTGGTTGTTTACAAGCTCTGGTGTCATATCCTTTGAATTATCCAGTTTGTGTTGTATTTAGTTCTCTGTTGTTAAGTACCTGAGACCATAGTCCTTGAGAAAGCAGCCACACTCTACTGATGCAGTATCAAGTTTGTTGGGCTGGTCATGTGGCACGCATGCCAGATCACAGGCTCCCAAAAAACTCTTCTATGGTGAGCTGCAAAATGGGAAACATTCCCAAAGCGGGCAAAAGAAAAGCTTTAAGGACACCTTAAAGTCTTCACTCAAAGCATTTGGAATGAATGACACCAATTGGGAGGCTGCCTCTCAAGACCAAAATGCATGGCGTGCAACTCTACACAAGGGCACAGCTACATATGAAGCAAACAGAACCAAGACATTAAAAAAAGGATGGACAGAAACGCGACTGCAGAAGATCCTGCCCCTGGCACAACACTGATTCCCTGTCCAAGAACTTTTCGGGCCCGCATCGGCTTCATCAGTCATCTTCATACTTAATAAAAAAGAGTGGTCATCATCATCTTGGACAACACACACACTGTTGTTAAAATGAGTCGAAACATTAGGTTGTATTTGTGTACGTCTTTTCCATTCCCTCTGTTCAGCTGTATAGTAACATTTTTTTGCTGGTACTTGGCTGACTTGGAAGCTAGAAAAAACCAACCAGTGGGGAAAATTATTCTTTGTCTGTAAACTCTTAGAATGCTCTGGTTGTTCATTGCTGGACAAAAGGCTTGTTCCAGATGAGTTTTCCTTGCATATCTAGGTCTAGCTACCACAAAAATATACTTTGTCAGTTTACAACCAGTGATCAGATATAGTGAAGAAATGTTTATCCTTTCTGTTTTCAGAAAATATGATCATCAGCAGTCAGATTTGTTCAGCACTAAGACAGAAGTTTTTGTTACTCCCTCTATCAGACGTAATAACAGCGGTTGTGGATTTGATCAGATCTAGTAAAGTTATTAGCCTTGCGGGTGTGAGTGATGAAGATAAGTGATGGAAACTGGCAATATTAAGCTGTGTACACCTCACACTTATATAGACAGTATGCTGATGTGACATGACAGTTGTGCCACACTTTTGTAACATGGCCCGTTGATAATTTTTTCAGTCACAAAAAGCTCATTTTGAACGGGATTTTGTGAGAAGTGGAACCAGAAACATATTTCACCAGACTATATAGAACCCATCGAATGTCAGAAAAAGTCATTTTTGCAGTGAGATAGCCAAAAATGTTTGTTTAGGCAGATGTTCTCATGTAGATAAGCTCACATTTGCTTGTGGAAACAAAAAATTATAATGCCCAGTTATGAACTTTAAAAAAAAAAAAAAAACAAGACTTTATTCATGCAACTGATTCTTTTAAATATAAAATCGCTCCTAGAATTAGCAGTTAAAAGATTTGAAGAAACAGTTCCAAGGTAAAGGAAATGGATAAGGCAATGAAATAAACATGACTACTAATAAGTCCATGTCGTGTGGCGTTGTTAGTCATGTCTACCTTGTCTCATGATGTCAAACTTTCCAGCATCCAACGGTCTTCCTCTGCCTCTCATCCCCTTTAACTTTCCTACTGTCACAATGTACTTCAGTTTTCTACTTCTCATCACATGACCATAGAATGTAGATTGTCTCTTTCTTTGCGAGTCAGTTTCTTTCAAGACATCTTCATTACTGTTTTCATCTGTCAACCACATCTCCGCAACTTCCAAATAAATTTTCGCTAGTTTACTAACTGATCACTATATAGGAATTATGTAGCTTTTTAGAAATTTTGTTCCTGTGTCTCTATTGACTAAGACAGTGTTCGTGTTGTTTACATCTCAAAGAAAATACTAACGACATATATTTATTATGTAAATAAACATATATAAAAAAAATGTACTCAATTTCACACACTGAAATTCTCTTTAAAACAGCAAGAGCATCTTAAAATTACTGTAACGGAAATTTTTTTTTATAAAAATACATTGTTGAGGAAATAAATATAACATTAAAATGAATAAGTTTCCAAAATATAAGCTCACATACTACTTTTTGCTGGTAAGTATAGTAAAGGTCTCTTTTCTGCGCCTTTGGGCATATATGGCTAGACCAATCAGCACTAGGTCAGTGATGTCATCAGCATAAGGCTAGCCACCTTTACTTCCCAGGACTGCACCTGGTACCCACTCATGGCGGGGGTAAAAATCATCTCTGAAGAAGAAAAAATACTGGTTCTTGTCCGATCACCATCAGAACGCGAAACCACAACCTCTGGATCCACAGGCGGGCGTCTGGCCGCCAATGTCATGCGGCTAGTCGTCTATTTTATATATTTTTTATATCATCTTTATATTTTGTAGATTTTGCAGTTTTTTTTTTTATGTCTTTCAGTCAAATCTATTGCATCATCAACAAACAGCTTTTAATAATAAATGTACATCAATAAAATTAGCAATATTTCTAAAGCTTGGTGCAGAACAGCTAAAAGAGAGGGCGCATATTAATCCGAATCACTGCTGTCTTTATTCAGGCGTTCAAGCTTCTTCTTATGGAGCTCAATAGCCTCCTGAAATCAGAAAGAAAATTCAATACGTTTAACTTAAATATAAAGCCTTGTGTATTAACTTTAGAAGTACAAAATATGTCTTTGCTACAGAATGTACAAAAATGGTAATGGTGATAAGAAAGAATGAAATCATAGCAAAAAACATAACAAATATTCTAATGTTTATTTAAAGTGACTAGCACTTTGAGGATCCTGGGTACTGGCAGCTTTGTTACTTAAGTTATACAGCTAACTTTCTGCATTGCTAACTCTCCAAAATTAACCAAGGAAATAAAAGTACTCACTTTATGCTGTCTGATCTGAGACTCATGATGAAAGACTTCATCTTCTAGCATCAACTTCACCTTTTCTAACTGTTCCTTTTGCTGGGATAGACACATTAAGAAAAAAATATATCAATGATACTTTATAGATACTCACACCAGATTTCCCACATTAGGCTAGATTTTCCTTAAGCTGGATTGAAAAATTGTTATGGGGAGTCAATAAAGAAGTTTGTTCACTATGGGGCCAAATATTGGAATGTTCAGTTGTGGCTAGTTTTCTTTCATCATCAAAATAGTCAGCTACAAGTGCTAGAACTCTGCGCTGGCGGGATGGAGCACTTATAGAAATGTCCCAAGTGTTGGTATGGCGGTCCTCAACTCAACTGTCCACAAACAAATTTCAGGTACTTATGGAGCCGCTACATTCTGCTCTCACTGAAGATCCAATTCCAGACCCAAGGCTATTTATTCAACCAAGTTTACCCAGAGGGCCAAAATGGGGATCATCGCGGGCTAGTGGCCTGAGCCACAAAGATCATTATTACAGTACCACTGGGAAATATACGGACCACATAAATAGCACTGCTCTACTGGCTTTAAAATGATAAACAAAAGTGGTGCCAATATAAATAAACCTATTATATATTTCAGTTGCTCTTCAGTCTTTGTAAGTCTTTTTGATGTAAATCCACTCACTTCATTCAATATCTAGAAGCAAACAGGCAAAAAAAAAGATTCTCTAATGGAATAACTTGATCAACTTCTATGATCTACTTAACTTACAATAAGAGAAGCAATCCGCAATACAAGAAAACAAGTTACATAAAGAAAAAGAATAAAACTTTGACAAATAAGAAAAGCTGTAAAAGAGACACTTTCAACAAAGAAGGGGTAAAATGGATGTTATGACATTAAATGCTTTCGTATAGTAAAGAAAGCAGAAGTAAAAATAAAATTTTTATATCTGTAGCTCTTTCTGAAGGAGTCATGAAGATGTATATGGCATTGTTTGTACCTTTTCCTTCTACAAATCCACACTAATTTCTGGTTTAATCTTGTTTCTTATTCTTCCCGTAATTATTCTCAGTAACATTTTTGTTACATGGCTAATAAGTTTTATGGTGCTTCACAATTTAAAGTGCCTGGTATTTAATATACATGTATAATGTGTCTCTTGGCAAAACAGCATGGGCTTGGAAGCTGATACAGAGTTTGTGAAAAATCAAAGGAATGAATGAGCTCACCATAGATAAAGGGCAGCACTTTCAGAAGGAGCAGAAAACCTTAACTCTTTGCGCGTGTAAAAAGGGACTCAATTTGTGTCATAATTTAACTATTAATTGTGATAATTCATTGTGTGTTCACATTTCTGTAATAAGATTGAATGTATACCGTTTTTCTATACACTGTATGATTTGAAGTATTGTTATAAAGTTTGAATTATATAAGCAATCATCTGGATTTTTTTTTTTAAACAACTTTTCACATTAATTTTAATGGAGAAAATGGTTTCAGATTTTGAACAGTTTAGTTTCTAAACATTTTAGAGCAAACTAAGTGTGACAACCAATTTCCCAATGTACTATCTTTACATGCACAGCCACTATTTTCAGACTTATTAAAAAAAAAAAGAGGAACTTAAAAGAAAAAATTGAATATTTTATCAGCTTCTAATTGATAGCTAACAAACAGATGACTTTATTTCAACTCAATATATGATAAATCGATCTCACATTTATGCTTTGATGGTTAAGCAAATGCACACATATGACATGCCCGCTTATCCATGATATAAAAAAGAATACAAACCAGTTGACGGAAGTACTGCTCTTCTTTAGTGGCTTCCATTTTACCAAACGAGCCACCAGCTTCCCTGTGTGGTGAGAGAGAAGACAAATCTAATGTCTAATATAAAGCAAGGACCACACACAGTATTTAATCTGTCAAGTATGTGACTGCCAAGCAGCAAAACAATACAGGCTATATAACATAATAACAAAACTGTTGGTGTGACAAAGGTTGTATTTTACATGCTAAAATTATGTATCGTCTGCAACCACATCAGATGATGTGTATAAAAAAGGACAGGCTAGTGGCACATGATACTAGATTCATACTTGTATAATTAATCAATGAATCAGCATGTGATGGATAATGTGAACATATGTCGGCTGCCTTTACTTCCCACATTATTTTTTGGTACAAACTGCTTCTAAACAAATCTGCCCACTGATGATATGGTTCCTTTAGATTTTCAGCTGTGATTTTGGAGCGCATTTTCAAAATAAAATTCTCAGCAATTATTTTATTTTAAAATTATGTGGAACTGTTTTATATCATATGTTTACATTATAAATTAGAGACATATGAGCTGTTCACAAGCAACTGGAAGAAAGAAAATAACTGAAATAAAAAAAAACTGGAGTTATCACAGAAAGACAAATAGACACATAAAGAAGCTCTTTAAAAATATAAAAATGAATCAAGCATTGTTCAATGAGATCATGTTTTTGAAACAAAGAAAAATATTTTGGGCACCCAAGAAAACAACATCCTGCCGAAAACCACAAAATCAAATATAATGAAAACGTCTACAGAATGATACTGAAAGAGATTGAACACAAAAATATGATTTTGGTAGGGAGCATCATGTTCTACGGGTAATACTCGATAGTCATCCTGCTACTGTAGAAAATATAAATGGCAGAAACATCCTGAACATTAGTACATGAAATGTCAGAATACTCGTACAAAACGGAAAGTTGGATAACATCAAGATGGAAATGAAGAGAATGAATATCAACATATTAGGAATTAGTGAAATGCCATGGCTAGGAGCTTGGGAAAAGTATTTACTCAGGTGGGAAGGAATATAGTAAGGGGGTTGGTATTATTTTGGACCCAAAGAATTAAAAAAACTGTGAAAGGATTTTGGACAATATCAGATAAACCTCACGGCAGACCGTTTTGACATCAACATAGTACAGATTTATGCCCCGAGAGCAGAAAGTTCAGAAGAAGATATTGACACATTTTATGACGAGTTAGACATGGCTGTTGATCAATGCAAAAATTGTGAAGTAACAATGGTACTTAAGCATCTTATGTTCAAGGTATTAATTTAACAAAGGTAAGCTTTTAATAATGTCCAAGTCTGGAATAAGAAAACAGCACTATTGGTATGAATATGCAGTTTCAACACATTCCTGTTATTTAGCTATGCTTTATTACTCAACAATATCTTGATAATCAATGATGCTCTGGTATTAATATGTTGCATAAGTAGAGATTCCTGTATATCTTCAATCTACTAAGTTAATGCTTTAAATTTTATATTTGTTTACATTGCTTGTTAACTGTGTAAGATTTTTTTAAGGCAAATCAATTTTCATTTTCCTAATTTTAGGATGCAACTTTTCAATGTATATCAAAAATTGTATAAACATATATATTTGTTAATTTACTGTTGTCCTTTTGAAAATTGCTTTAAATCTGTTAAAAATCAGGACACTATAAAAAAGAAAAGTAAACAAAATATTACACACTTAAGCTCCAGTGAAATATGTTTTTGCAAGAATCAACAATTAAAATATATTTGACACAGTTGAGATGACAAACCTGATGGAGCCGCCACTCCCTCCTCCCTGAAAATACAAATATGACATCAATAAACAAAAATGTATTATTGTTCAGAAACAGTTATTTTAAAATGAACATGCTCACAGACCTATTTTACAATGTTTATAAACAAAATTAATTTATTCAAAACTACATCTGTAGATATGTACTCAGTGATTCAATGAGTATGATCTGGAGGGTTCAGGCAGGTTCGGTGCAAAGGCAACGGCTTGAATCATTACAGAAGTCCACTGTGCGTGGAGTCATCTTTATTTCTGTTCAGGACATGTGGGCACCAATAAAAACAAAATAGCTGATAAGTTGGCTGGATCCACTATCACTAACGATGGTCAACCCATGGATCATGCTGATATTATTAGTGCCCTTTGAGAAGTGGGAAGGACTTCTGCGGGCAGTGAATCCACATCACTCACCAGAATAATAGACTTGGAAGTTAAGATTGGCATAACCAAAAACACCAGGCACATCAGAGGACTTATTAATCATCATAAAACGGGTGCTATTAGCCACTGGACGCTAGGGTTCATCCTGAGGGGAGGACCTGAGCACATATGGACATGTCCAAAGTGCAATGATGATAACCCAGCTAACCAACTAGGAAATATTGCCACACATCCTGATTATTGTCTGCATTGATTAAATTAGCATCAATTCAACTGTATATAATATAAGAACATCAAGAGATTTAGTGTGTGAAGCTAAAGCTATCTATTTTTCTCTCTGCACTTAAAAAATAATTTTTTTTTACTTTGAAAATAAAGACAAGGGAATAGCTACCAACTGGGGAGATAAACCTAATGTTAGTTTTATTCAAGGTTTCAACTTCCATGAAAGCAAGTTGCAGTTGCAATACATAATTATGTATGTATAACTATCTTGTGTGTGTGTAAAGCACTGGATAAAAGAGTGGTTAACACAGATGGTATATGATAAGTAAGAAAATATTGGGCGACAACAAGCAAAGCTTTAGAATCAGAGAATAGAATACTAGGATAACTGAAACATGCTTCTCCAGCTCTGGTGCTTACATAATGTCACAAATATTTAAAGACATCTTTTAAAAAGAATAAAGTAAATATTTACTTTTTTAAAAGAAAAAAAGCCCTGCCCATTCTGTCTATTACTACTGACTATTTAGATACTTCTGAAATCTAATGTGATTACTGTTTAATTTCAGCTAAAAGAAACTATTAATACTCCGTTACAATTAAAGACAAGTATAGTAATGCACACAAACCTTTCCTGCTCCATCACCAAACTGACCTCCACTCATAGCTCGAAGGCTGAAATTACAGTAACACGTTAGCCAAGTCAGTGAAATATTTTCAGCATTTCAATATTGTTTCTACTCAAAATAGAACCGATAATTCGATAATTACCAAGACAAGCTTTTTACTTAATTTTTAAAAAAAAATCTAAACTTGTTAAAAAACTGTAATACAAATCCTAATATAAATGTTACAGGAAAGATAAGTTTTTTCAGAAAAAAAAGAAGTTGCTAAATCTGTCACTGCTGAGCAAGATAAAACAGTGACTGTAGTCTGTGCGATGAGTGCCAGAACTGTAGAAGAGGAACTAGCCTGTTCTTCAGGACTGCAACCTGGTGACTTTGCTGTTGTCAAGGTGCACAGGAAAGCAAAAAACTCTTCTTGGTTGTACTTGGTTAAACTGACTGATTGTGACAATGAGAGATACAAAGGTATTTTCTACAAGCAAACCCCTCTAACTCAAAAGGTTTTCAGAAATGAAGTAAGAGCCTTATTTTGGACAGGAAAACATTATTATTTTGACACCCTTGAGGCCAATTTTCAGCAGTTAAACTTGCTTTTAAAAAATATAAGCTTTGCAAATGAATGACCTTAGTGATATTTCAATCTCCTGAATAATAAATGATTTTACTAAATTTTTTTCTGGTCTACTATCAATCATTTTACAAATGGGACAAAGACCGGCAACATACAACAGATGCCTTTAAAATTCAGTTATTTTGATTATTAATAACAACAACACAGATTCAGCTTACACACATGGCGGGTAAGTGTCTAAACTATGGAATCTATTGTAAATTAACATTTAAGTGTGGACCCCAGGAAATGTAATCCCCTGTTTGTGTAAGTGCACATAATTGATACTAATATTTGTTCATATTTTACTATTGTTTAAGATTAGGGTTAGAGTTAGACCCAAACACACCCTAACTCTAATTTTAACAACTTGACTTAAAACAATTTATTACGTGAACGTACACAAAAATAATGAATTTTCTCCCTTACGGTCTGCCTAAAGAACCACTGACTGTCCTTATAAGGGGTGGCAGTTGCAAGGATTGCCCAGGTGTTTTCTATACCTTAATACCCAACTATGCTAGTTGCATCATTTTATTATTATTATTATTATTATTATGAAAATATGACACTTATGATAAATTTATTTTTAATCATTTTTAATATAAATAACTGAACCAAATTCAATTACTATAATATTTAAACTTATAAATTGTATGGTGGTCATGATGATGATGACGACGACCCATCCATAGTAATAGTCCCATACTGAATACTGGCATACTTGTTCTAGTTCTTGCTTCACTCTCCAGATTTGGTTTAGTAACCGTATTTAAATTTTGTTACTATAGTACACTGTACTAGAGTGTTATTATTTTAAGTATAAAGTTCAAAACGCGCCATTAATATGATGTGAAATAGCTCACACATTTCGCTTTGACTCGACAATACTTACCCTGTTGATCGCAGTGCGAGGCAACGTAACAACACCGGTAGACGAGACGCCATGATAAACAAGTACAAGGAAGTCGGCCGGCACTGGGCAGCAGTGTTTAGTGTTGCCACTTTTTTTTTTGACAAAAACATCCAAAATGGAGTAAAAAAATCTAAAAACATCTAAGTGTGTGTGTGGAAAACATCTAGGAAAAAACATCCAAATTGAAAGATTAACATAGCTATTGATATGACTTATTCTATAGAATCATGTCCTCATCTTTACTGATGTCTGTCTCACAAGATCCACAGGATAAACTTAGCTTGGATGATGAAGTTGAAGCTTCAGATCCAAAATGACTCTGGTATGCTTTTACTGTTCCAAATTCTTTTAATACAACAATGTGGTTAAAGAACTAGGATTGCGATGTGATGAACGCAAGCGGACACTGAAACAGCTGGGCGAGGTTGCTGAGAGGGCCTCGAGCTGGCTCTGGACGCAAAGAAACAACGTAGGGGACGGGCCTTGGTGAGCTGGTCCGGGTGTCTAGCGGAAAAGAATTTCTCATCCCTTGAAAGTCCATCGTGTCCGAATTGTCTGTCAGTGTTCCTCTGCCACCTGCTAACAAAAGTCCAACATGTGTCCGGTATACCAATCGTAAGCTTGTCGCTCGGTCGTCCAGGTATGCAGACTGCTCTAATTATGCTACCGCGACGACTTCTTATCTCACAGTACCTTCTGCAAAATCACCAAGTCGTCTTGTCCCTATCCGAACACCATCCGGTAATTTCGTGCAGCAGGGAAACCAACCCTGAGCTTCATGAACTCAGGTGGGCCCACTCTCTGAAAACGTCTAGGAGCTCGGGGGCCGAAACGTTTGTCGACGAGAGATTACTTCTACTGACGATTGGTAGATCCCTGTTGTACATGCTTCCCTGTGGAGTTTATTCCTAATACACAATCAGGGAGCTGATAGGTGGAACAGCATTTGCCTACTCTCATCAGGCCGAATGTTATCGTCAAGATAGCATTTAAGAGGTCAGATTTCATTCGGTTTCTTGGGTTAGATTTGATATAATTCATAGCACTAAAACTCTTTCTACGTCAGCATTTGAGTGGGGTAGTATCATGGCAAACATGGTACATTCAAAGAGCTTAAAGAATGGACTGTTTGATGAGGCATCTTTAAATTGTCTCACTTCACTCCAAAACACTTTAGTGTGTGTTTTGTTTGTCCATTCAGCTTAGTTTTTTTTTTTTTTTTTTTTGTTAACTGATATACTGCTTCCGCGACACTATTATCAGTAGCGCCTAAAATTTCGTAACTTTACAAAATTTAGGTATGTCCTTTACTGGCTGAAGTATGTTGCTCACAGAAAAGAGTGAAATATTTTTCAATACATCTAGATTTTTAGGAAGTCTCTGCTTCAGTTGCTTGAATAATGACATAAGGAAATCTTGACACCGTTTTCTTAAGTTGTTTTCTTCATTCTCTGTTAACAGTCCTTTTGTTTTTAAATCAACAATTTTTGATTCGATTTGCTATCCAATGTATGGCTTAGGAGCCAAATAGCTCTCTATAGTGCAAGTGAGCAAATCAGCTTTAGAAGTTGGCAACACGTTTTTTACCAACTGAGTGAAATAGCAAAGTGAGATCGTCGAGTAATTTAACTTTATTAACATGATTAAATTCGAACAGTTTATTAACTTTTTGCACTTCCATTAGAATAAGTTGTAAAAAGAGAATGAATGCCAAATTGTTTTCATCACTGTACATTCCATATAGTATTTCACCTGTGTAGCACTTTTCACTTTGTCTTGTTATTTCAAAGTGTGTTTTCAACTCCAACCATTGGTTCACAATTCTTTCAACACCTGGTTGAATTGATAACCATCTAGTTTTGCAATCTGACAGAATTTTCAGTCGTGTGGAACCATCATCCAATGTAATGTATTGTATTGCTGTTGTCTGACAAATGATTTGGAAAACCTGTTATGTGTTTCAGCGATAAGATATTCCAAATTCCTTTGTAAACATTCAGATGAAGCATGTGATAATGATAGCTCCAATGAATGAAACATACATTTTATAAGTATTAACGATCAGACAGCTTCCTTCTTTTTTGACACCAAGCACACACACCAAGCACTTTCAGTACTGGAATATCATTTGATTCGTCTAATATTAAACTATATTTATTTGTAGAAATATCACTGATCAAATCTTTTTGAAGTAATAAAATAAAGTATTTCTTGTAATATGTGTACACTTGCTGCGATGCATTTTCCCATAATCCATAACATTACTGTCAGAAATAGAGTTTTTGAACAAATCAATCAAATGGGCACAGTTTGAACTTGCACAATGACAACTTAAAAACACTGCGACCGATCCTATAACTTTTGATGATAAATGAATCGGTTTAGTGCTGAAAACAGATGTCAGCGGTGTAATACCTTTGAATGGAACGCCAGTTTTTAGTTTTTCAGTCTCTGCATGACTCTTTACGTCTGGTATTTTCGATTTAATTTCACACTTGCAGTACTTACAATGAGCCTTGGTCATTTCCCCAGGAACTGCCATCACCCAGTCTTTAATTTTGTCATCATGCAACCATTCTTTCTGAAATTTTTGCTAATACTTTATTTTTGGCATGTTGAAAGGTGTTTTTTTTTCAAAGTAAAAGCCACATATGAAGGTGAGTAATAATATTTTTTTAAATCACATGAAAAAGAAACACAAAGTCAGTACAGTGTGGATACGGTGGAAACAAAGTTAGTATGATTTACGCGCACTTTCAAACAGCACTGGGGCTGCTAGATATTTTAGCGTTGACCCCAGTGAGAGTTCACAGTTAAAGTAATCGCAATTGTCACAATGTACATGCCAGACCAAAACAAAAATATTGTTGTAAATATTTTACACAGTAATTTTTAAACTGACACTGAAAGAAAAAAGATTTATAAATTATCTAATTTCAAATGAAAACTATCTAGAAAAACATCTAACATCTAAACATCAAAAACACCATCTAAATGCAAGGGAAACATCTAAATCTGGATGTAAAACATCCAAAGTGGCAACACTGGCAGTGTTGGGCTGTTGCCAGATCAAGAATAACTTTTTTTTTTTTAGCCAAATGACTACCCAAAAACGCGCCAGAAAAGCCAAATAAAATGTAACATTACATCAAAAGATCTGGATTGAATTTCTGTCATCCTCACTGAAACAATTGGAGGATACAACGTAAACCTTTTCAGATGTAAAATTTTTAAAGTATTTTCTTAGATGGGGTGAAGTATTTGCAACATTTGGTTTGATATCAATAGTTTTGCTCTAATTCTCACAACTGCATCAAGAAAATCGAGTATTTTTTTTTTTCCTCATGCGTTTGATTTAACTGAAGTAACAAGAGAGATGTTGACACACAAGCAGATACCCAGGAGTACTAAAGTGAATTTTAGCAGAACTATTTTTTGGCCAACACTATGCTGTCAGTGCCAACATGGACACTTACATCCTCTAATGAAATTATAACTGTGACAACAGAGATGAAATGCATTAGAAGGGCTGCAGGAGTTTGAAGAAAAGACAGAATATGAAATCATACAAATGCTAGGGAAAAAGCCAGTCTTACAGGTCATCAAAGAACAACAAACGAAGTGGTTTGAGCACCAACAAGAATGCCCTGGTACTATCTGCCACGTTACGAGTGGAAGACCTCGGAAAAATGGAGTGATGTCATTAAGAACAGCCTTACAGCAATGAATCATCAGTCTTAGTAGTGCTATTGACAGAGCTCATCAGCGAATGTTACATCTCCTCCCCCACTTCTAGCACAAAAATGCATCTTTCTTTACCATTTTTTTAAATTTCTAACTGAGCTTCAACCCTGTTATTTTTTCCTGCAAGAACGCATTACATTCTGTTATGAATTAATTACCAAAGTCAACGCGATGAATATTATTTTCGACTAATTGACATCATACAGTTTGTTCTTAAAACTGTTTCGGTGCATGGACAATTCTTGGTGTAGTTCATGAGGATCAGTTTTTGTTTGTTGAAAAAGACTTTAGTCTTTCACATTCTTGTACAATTGGTGTCGCAAACACAAAGTAAAACTAATTATTGTGGTCTTATAGCATTTCCTTTTATTTATAGTGTGTGTCAAACGTGTCTGGGCTAATTCAGCACACGTGAAATAAGCTTTCAGTTCTTCCCAGTTTACCAACATATTGAACATAGTCTTTCCACGCACAAGACACCTAGTAGATGAACGTTTTTCAAATGGAAGAGTAGCAGTTCGTCCAGATTCAAACTCCGTAGAACTGTTCATCACTCTAAAAGTTCTTTATAGGCTCGTCTAACACTATAACGAAACCATTTAGGTATTTCTGAGAGTAAGAAACTAATATTTGATGGCAGCATGGCAACTGCATTATAAATGCAGAGTGCTAGTGAATGGCAGATACATCTGAGCTGTACACAAAAAGAAGACATCTTTAATTCTAGACCATACAGAGCTCTTGCCCCCGATTACGTTTGAAGCGCTATCTGACGCAAACCCAATGCAGTTTGTAAGACTGGCCACATCTTGTGATTTCCTTATCAATCAGCTTAAATATGTTTTCTCCTGTAGCCACTTGCAATAAAATTAAAACAAGAAGTCCAGTAAATATTTCATTTTTCCTGTTTCTGGGGGGAAAAACTATAATGCACAAGTGCATCTATAATGATCGCATATTTCTTGTTATGAAAATCATCTTTAAGATCAGCCTAAAGTGGAGCGGATATGATATTTTTTATTATGCATGAACATTTAGTTCTATACAGCTGTATGTGCTCCAGTGTACTTCCCCGACCATGCCCTCTCGTGATTTCACTTAGATGATCAACTGTGCGTAGTGGACAATGGTAGGTAATGCTTACAATGTTGAATTAAGATTCGACATCACAGCACTGAGGATACCCCCATAAGCGCTCCGTCCCCATCTTCAGCAAAAAGCGAAGAGTTAAAATTACGATGGTATCAGTAACTGTCTGATTGTATATCCGTCTCGCCTTCCCCCTGAG